GAGAATTTTGTATTCTACAATATTGATAATAAATACAAATAGCAAAAAACCCATAGGAAATGAGATATTTCCAAAAAAAGCGCAAAAAACCGATTTTTGTGACCTTTGACCATGAAATTTAATAGTTGCTTACACCCTACCATATGTAGGTTTTGAGACAACTTTTAGGGTGTCAATATACAAGTATTTACAGACTTACAGCTGGGTATCTCGAATTCCGAGATTCTTACCTAATTTAAGCTTAAATGACTGGATTAATATTGAGAGAGAGAGAGTTCACATATTATTTTGTCTGAGTTCACTTCCTATTTGCAAAAAGGTTATATATGTGGTCCTTGTGTGAGTTGTTTAGCTAGAGTTCAGATTACAAATAAAAAAAAGGAAATTTAAGGTTATACAGCCCTCTCCCTGAAGTGAAAGTAAAACTAAAAGTATTTTGTACTGAGTTGGCGCGTTTGTAATTGTTGAAGAGGTTAAATTATTAGTGAATAGCACAGTCAAATTTGCGGCATTTTGATTGTTATATTTTCTTTTTTTTTATACTTTATCTTTTTTATTATAATTTTACACATTGTTTTTTCGTTTGTAAGTCGTTGTTGTACTCATTATTTGAAATCTCGGACATTCATTTTCTCTTGGACTGAGAAAAATACCATCCTCGTAGAGTAAGATGTAGTTGAGTATATGAAATCAAAAAAAAAATAGAGACTTCTTAGCCTATCTGTCGACAAAAGTAGAGTAAGTGCAAATTATTTTAACTAAGATTAAAATTCAGTTGAAGCATATTCAGATTCGTTCTGGAACCATATAATGAGAGAGTATTATAAGTATATATGTACCAAATGATCAGGTTTTAAAAAGACCTCCTCGTGCAGGAGGCCAAATTCAAGCCTTTTTCAGATTTGCCTGACATCCAAAATTTGATGTGGAAAAATTTGCATCTAGTGACAGCAGCTGCCAAAATTGATTAAAAATTGATTAATAATTCAAAAAGGAGCATTTTTTACACTGGTAACAACTAAGTGAGATTTAACGAGGATTTCTTGGTTAAGAAAATCTAATTCAATAGGTGGTATGAATAATACCGGAGTATAACCTCCGAATATGTTCTCATGAGTATGAGCATAAAGTATGAGTTTGTACTCCATTTCATATGGATTAAAATATTTCAATGTGATGAGTATCTGCTCACAGTACATAAGAGTGAATACCCGCTATTTAATTATTTCTATAAACTTGTCAGAGCCTGTTTAGGAGGTAGCAGGGTTATGGCATATTCTTGCATTGCCTTTTATTTGATCAATTAATTAGTGCGTTGTTACAATGAGTGAAAGCAGTGAAGACGAAAGTGATAAGGGATGCGAATCCCAAATGGGATTTGTGCATATGTTACTTGATTTTCCTGTACTTTTGTCCAAGTCACAAACACCAGCTGTCCGACTATCAAAGTGAAAAGCACTTGAAGCGATGAGAAAACAATGGGAGCTTGATTTCGGTTCACAAATAACAACAAGTCAAATCTACAAAAAAATTAAAGATTTTGTTGAAAATCATGGAAGGCGATACAGATTCAGTACTTACAGGTGATGTAATGTTTATAAATAAAAATACAAATAAGGCAGCCAAGCTATATTTAAACTAGAACCAAAAAATATATTTCTGTTGAAGTTATTTTACAATTTCATTTTAGGAGCATTGCCTGTCGTTACAGAACAAACAGACACAATAGCAGGCAGCAATCATGAAGCTAAAATCCGCAGGCCTTTTGTTTCTAGAACGTGTACCAATAAAATTAGCCCTTCTGAAAAATACGAGGCAAACGATACTAAACAACCTTCAAATACCTATCTACAAAGGCTAGTATTGCTAAAACAACTGAGAGTTTTGGAAATGAAGGAGCAAAAACTAAAAAGGTAGCTAAATCCAAGTGAACAATTTACTTCAAATAATAATTATATCGTTGACGATGCAAACGGAAAAACTTGATATGTAATATTCAATTATTTTTGTAAATTGTTGCAAAGTAAAAGTTATAAGAAAAAAATTAACGATGAAAATTATATATGCGTTGTTTTGCTCGACTTTTACTTACCTTAAGTAAAAGCAAGAATGATTTCTGCTAATTCAGATCGCCTTCGTTACCCACTTTGTCTAATGCCAACTATATCTTGTACGGGAAGCGGATCCCAAATATCTTGTATTGGGGGCTCCATTGGATCGAGTTCATCATTTAAATATTTAGCTACATTGTGTGACATGAAACAACATATAACAAGTTTTGGAACATTTTCAATCGACACCCGAACTTTATATTGAAGCATCGGAAATGCTTGTTGTTTTAGTTGCCCAAAACATCGTTCAATTATTACACGCTCCTTTGTAAATAATTTGTTACAAGCAAGCTGTGCCGGAGTATTTGGATTTCTAAAAGGCACCATTAACAACGGTGCTACGTCATAACCTTCATCTCCTAAAATTAATGCATTTGACCTCTTGAACTCATTTTTAGCAATGTTACAAATTTCTGAGTTACTCTATAAGTGTATATCATGGACAGATACTGGCCATGATGCGTCTACGCTTGTAAACCACTCACTGCATTGCAAGTTTCTTGAACGTTGATACTGTGATATCCTTTGCGATTTATATATTCATCACTATGAAGAGGTGGTTTCTTATTTTCATGTGAGTGTAATCGATCACACCCATAGCACACGAAAAAGTGTGCTTTGTTTGCCATCTTTCTTTAGCTGCTATTATATCCACCGGAGTGTAAGGAAATGTTATCCAATGTGCGCATTTTTCTATTATCTGGTCAGCAACTTGCATCACAACTTTAGACACAGTACTTTGATGAACACCAATATCTTCTCCCACTCCTGTTTGAAACCCCGGATCACCTACATATCTTAAAAATATTTTCATTTCATCAAAGTTGCATATAACTCCACCTCTTGTTTATTCCGACCCATCAAGTTATTTGAAAGACACTTAAAATTTTCTTTATTAAATCGGTATAATGCATTAAAGTCACGATCACATGTACTTCTTCTTGGTTTATAATATTTTTTTTAAAGCAAATTAAACATGCACTCAGCCATAACTTTGCTCACAACAAACTGTACATAAGAGTACCTACTCAAGCCGAGTATCTGCTTCGGTTTTTTATTCATACCACGTAGAGTATTTACTCCAAAATTTGAAAAATAAACTAAATACTCATTTTTATTCATACCACATCATAATTCCTTGTGATTCTTATGCTTTTTGTACCTTATTACCTTGTACTTTATTGACAAAAAGGATCTACCGTAGTTATTACACGTGATGAAATATTTTTTTGCCATATGCGGTCGTTTCTTTGCAATTTCAGCCTTCAAACGATCCAATGACGCTATATATTATTCACTGTTGGTGATATTTCTCCTCTTGAGGACGAGAACAAGATTCAACAGTTGCTTTCCAGTTGTTATGTTCAAACATGGCCAGATACTCCTCAGAATCATCAAGACTCTCTTGTTTCTGGTCAACAGTGAGCTCGCGCGGTACCCACTTTGAAAAAAGCTTTCTCATAGTCAAATTCTCATGCAATTTAAATTTTCCACAAAAAAGCTGTATGAAGAAATCAACTTATTCAACATCAGAAGTCTCTACTCTTACTCTTGTTTAATATGGATATTTCATAACAAAGTAAATTACCAAAGTTCAACTATTGAAAAAGAGACCAGATCTGTTATAAAAAGGTCTATCCATCTACCTTTATTCAAAAAAAGTCATTCACAGAAATCTGTATATTACTTTGGCCCAAAACTTTTCAATTTACTACCACCCGAGTCCAGGAATATTATAGACATAAAGAAATACAAAATTGCTATAAAATCATTTCTACGCTACAATCAACTNGGAAAGTTATTTTGTGCAATTATTATTTATTTTTTGTCAAGTCCAAATATTATAATTATTTATCATATAAAATTATTATTAATTTATTTGTCATAACATTCAAAAGCATTTTTGAATTAATTTATTATTCACAATGAAAGTTTTGTTGTTTTTTCTCAGAATTTCGCTCTTTGAATACTGTCATTATCGGAGTTAATTCCAATTACAAGAATCCAAACGGAATAATATTTGTTTATTATTGACAACAAAAAATAATTACTGTTTCTATCAGGATGTTAAAGTTTTCTTGAAATACCACAATTATCCGAATTTGCCTCTACATAAACCGCTTTTTATATATCTACAAGAACCCAAATTGCATTTTAATATCCATTTACTGTTCACCCCTCAATCTGTACTACTTAAAATTGCAAACAAAAGTTTCTATTTCTTTTTTCCTAATACTTTATTTGTCATACACCGACACAAACTTGATGCAGATACGATTTCTCCCACCGACCATGACTCAGTCCGGTAGCTTTAGTTGATAACTCACGATAAAGTGTTACTTGAATACCTAATATTTTGATATCAGTTTGGGAAGCAGCATCGAATGCTCTAGTCAAACTATTGAAAATACTGCATAAACAAGTTATAAAATATATTTTTCAAATGAGACCATAAGGATGAGTTGATGGATATAGCGTGGTAGGAAATCATAATGAAGAAAAGAGAAATGGAACTTTTATTTGTAACTAACGAAACCGCAGTAACGTTAGTTACAAATTAAAGTGTAAAAGCAGTAACGTTACTTACAAATGAAAGCGTTAAAAAACATAGAAAATTTCATTTCTTCTCTTCATCGAGAACATAAGGGCTCAACTAATGATTTATGCTGACTAAAACAATGATTAGTACTAACCAAATGATACATACACAAATCCAAACTTTGCATCTTTATTCATTTTGCTGATTGAAATACTCAAATTTGAAAGGCGGGGAAAAAGGCGTGTTCTTGAAATAAAGTTAACTTTTCATCACTGTTTCCACGTAACTCTATATTTTCGGAGGCTGAAGTTTTGTATGTAGGTTCGTTTTATATAGTAGATGAGCAATAAGAAAGGATTCTTGAATATTCCAATTTCCATGCCCTTGAATTTCTGGTGGGTAAATTTGTATTAAGTATCAGCATTATACCCGTGCGAAGCCGGGGCGGCTCGCTACTAATCAACATAACTATTCAACAAGGTATTCAAAAAATCCAAGGATTTTGAACGTTAGATCAATATTTGGTAAACAATAGATTCATTGGAGTGGTTTTCTCCTTAGTATAAACATTGTATGTTTCTTGGGAGATACATTGTTATTATTAATATATGAAGCACTGATTAGGAGGAATGCAGTCAGTATGAAAACGCTTGAGAAACCTATTGAATAGCGAAACACGTGTTTTGTAAACTGTCCGATGCAAATCTCACAAAAAAGTGTTACTATTCTATGAATATTCATCAAGTATCGACCAATTCCATCACAAATATGAATGTGTTGTGTAGACTTACCACGGTGGAATTATATGGTCCTCCTGAAACGATACCTTCTGTATGCCACCAATGGAGAGCTTCCCAAGGGAAACCTCCCACACATCCAACGCCACAATGATCGCAACAGGAGAGTAAATCCTCATCTGAAACGAATATTTGCTTATTTCCATTGGAATGGATGCAAATCCTATCACTCATCATGGAAGTTGTTGCAACAGCCTGTGAATTCAGAAACACATATTTTATTCAACAATTAGGCCAGTAGACTTACGGGAAAACTACTGTTTTCAGCCGAAGTTCCGAATTACATTTGATAGTTATGTGACTTTCAGTAGAAGGGTGTGAAATGTTTAGCGGGACAGAAACCTCTGTTAATTGTCATGTTCATTGATACAACCAGAGTGTTATTCAATTTCAATATCTTTATGGATTATCGTGACCTGAAGAGTTTTCTCGGTGGCAATGGTTTCGGCAGATTCGAAGGTTATTGTGCGTCCTGTTTCAAGATGATATTTGAAGAGGGATGAGAATGAATATCATTCAGTGGGAGCTAGTTTGTATTCACAGGCTGTGTTGGAAACTCGTCTGTTGGTCTGACCAATATAAGATTTGAAGCAGGTGAAATGTGTAACTCCAAAACCATTGCCACACATAAACACTTTCGAAAGGGATGATTCCCAAAAGGAATCGTCTTTGAGGTTACCGTATACGTGGAGATTATCAATGCTCCTCTTCAGATCTTCGATTATTTTATATCCCGCTACTACAAATCATACTAATATATCCAGCCCCGACTCCTTTACCGCTCCCGGTCCTGACCATACTCTCGCTTCCACCACCGGCCCTACTACCTTTCCAAAGATATAAATAACTATCAAAGGACTGTTAGTTCTCGCTTTAGAGCAGGTCCATTGAGAACCTTGCGAAAACTATAGATGTATACAGACGGGAGATGTATATCAAGAGCTCAAAATAGTTCCTGAATTAAGTTTCAGTCATCTCCTGATGATGCTGACTCGTTTTATAGCTCGCGGCTTCGATCAGTCCGGGGCTCACAAAATCAATAGCCTTTTTTAGGGCTATTGGGCTTTATTGAAATCCGCTATCTCGTTTGGCCATGGTCTTACTATTAGGGTAGGCGCAAATTGGAAGCGCGTAGGGTGACGCAGCACAGCGCGATGTTTTGTAACTTGTAACCCATGAAAATCAATAGAACAGCGCAAGTTGGCACCCAGACATAATGTGGGTGGCCACAATACCTACGGTCATGGAGCTTACACTACAGTTGGAAGAATTTTGTGGTGTGGAATATAACACAACAGAACAGCACGTTGATGCCCGAATGACAAGGGTGAGGAGGAACGAGGCAGACGTTGCTCTCCTACTTCAGTGGTTGTTGGCCCACGATCCCTTCCCTAACGGGCAGTTCATTATGTCAATAAGCACTGGCGTAATTGGGGACAAAACTATTAACTGTCATGACGCATTCGAGAAAGGAACTGCGAGTCTCACTACAATAACTAATAGACCAGGCATCAATTTCAAGAATGTAAAGTTCCAGAGGAAAAATAGAGTTATTCCGCTCAAAGTCGTCAATTCCAAAATAACTGTTCACGACAAAGTGGTACCGGTATCTCCTGACACCATATTCAGACGAATACATTTCCTGAAGAAAAGTGACAAAGAAATTGAAAGCTACTTCCAATACGAGCTGGCCCCATACCCACTCTCTCTATTCGATGAAACAGGGATGAGAAAAACAAGGAAATCGGTTTTGTACGATTTGTTTGAACCAGTGATTCCAGAACCCAACTTGNGGTGCGGTTCTGAATGTAAATAAATATAAATAGCGTTGACATATAACTTATATATAAATTTTGTTACTCTTCCAGATGTGACATATTTTTCATTGTCGTTTATTTCAGTGTTTAAAATTGACCATTTTCAAAATTTTAGGGGTCTATTTAAATGGAAATTAGATTTTCTACAACTTTTATTCCATGAGTATTATTAATTGGGGAAGCAGATTAGAAGATAGTTGATGCTGAACCGCCAAGAACTGGCAGCTTACACTAAAATGGGAAAAATCGCCAATATTGAACAATCGATTGCGGCCAAACCGCTGAACCGATTTTAATGTTTGTGGTACTCTTCGACGAAGAATTCAATGCTTTTCAATTTTGAATAGCATAAAATTTTCTGTACAACAGATGGTTTTCGAGTTATTTGTGGAAAACTGAAAAAAGTACGAAAATTTCGAGGTTTTCGGGCTCTCAAAAGTTAAGCTCACCTCCTGGGATGGTGCAAACTCAGATTTCATGTATTTAGGACCAAAATAAGATATTAAAACTATTTCCTGCTTACCGCGATTTAATTCACACTGAGTGTCTAATTTTCCTAGCCTATGGCACAGTGGTTGAGACACAGTTTTTCGTGCCAATAAATTCACGTGTCGCATTGTTTTTTTGTTGTAAATTTTTTGTATTTAAAGTTATGGTTGAGAAAAAGTTGACTGAGGCTTTGAGGGCATACAAAGAGTTGAATTACCTCAGCGATCTGAATTACATGAAAACAAAATTCAAAAACAGGATTTGGATTGAACTTACATGGTAATTACTTTGGTCAACAAAATTTTAACTGTTTTTTGTCACATGAAAACTTATTTCAAACTTTGAATCTACTAGGGTCACCAAAGCATATATTTTGGTGAAAATTACAAAAATCAACTACAGAAATTATCACTTACTATACAATAAATATTTATGATTTTCGTGAATATTTGTCGTCTGGTAGGTTCCTCCTGAGTTTCCAACAATAATATCCTAGCATTCCTGGGCTCCATTTCCATTGATAATGCTTCTCTATTAAGTAAATGTCCTGATGGAATCTCTTCCCTTGTTCGTCACTCACAGCACCCAAATCTAGATGCGAGTCAAACATACGTATTTTTTAGGACACATTACACCCCAAAGCTTTATCTGGCATTATTAGGTCCTCTATTGAGTCTTTGTGTTTTCCGCTTTATGATTTCCTAGGAAATTTTGCACAACACTCACAAAACATTTCCAAGCGATTTTTTCCTGGTCATTTAGTTCTCCCTCAGAGCTCTTATCCTTCATAAGTTGTCATATTTGTTAGCCTACAAATATTTTTCCTTCAATTTTCGCGTCGCTGAGTTTGGGGAATTTCTCTTTCAAATATAAAAATCCACTGACATCTTTGCGCATAGCTTTTACAAGTTTTTTCATCAGACCGAGTGCAACGGTGGTAAAAGTATGTCATCAGGGTTCACTAGGCTTACTTTTAACATTTTTACGGCGCTTGAACCACATTTTATTTTATTAGTGACTTTTTCTGTCTCTGCTGTCCCATTCGCAAATAAAACAGCAAATTTTGTGTAATCAATATATAGTCCAAGCAAATAATAAATAACTTTTAAATCTCCACAAATTTTCCAAGCGTGTTCAATGTATTTAATTTTTTCAAGAAGAAATCTCATGTTTTCGTAAGTCTCTTTCATATCAGAACTATGAGCAACCGACACTGAAGGAAGTTCGTTTCTGTTATGCAGCAACACTTCATTCAAACTAGTTTTTGAGGAGTCAATGAACAGTCGCCAGTGACTTGGATCATATTCAAAATTCAATAAATTCATCACAATATAAATATTATTACAATGGACCAATGAGGTTTTATTTCATCTTCAAAATGTCGAAAATAAGAAACTTTTGTATCAGGAGAAAGTTAATTCCAGTCCTTTAATCTAGACCGCAAAAGCTCAGCCTGTTAATTTAGACAAATTGAAATTTCGACGCTGGAATGTAAAAGTTGATTCTTCACACACATAACAATCTACTAACACTATCAGTGTTAGTAGAACAGTTTCGTTGCATATTTGCGATGTACCTAACGAAAATGAAATGTATGTTAGCTGATGCTATACAGCCGCCTAAATGACGTATATCACGTCAGAAATGAATATATAGCTGTCACAAAAAAACTGGATGTGATGATGTGATGTGAAACAAAATTATCATATATTTATAATGGGGGTAGGCCAGAATAAACAAAACAGATCATAAAGTTCATGTGACAAAAACACTGTTGACCTGTCTTATTATCGAGCAAACACTAAAGCAAAAGTTCGTCTTCAACAATGAAAGCAATAACTTTTTAACTTGGTCGGCCATAGCGGTACGATTGAAACTGCGTTCAATTTGCGGATCATACACGCTACGCGTGTGACACACGCATCTTGTTCGGCTCGTGCAGGTCAGCTCACACGCGCACAATTTGCGCCTATCTTTAGGGCTAACTAGCCACAAGTCTCCTTCATCGTATTCGTCCTACCCGCGGACCAAATACATTGGAGGGTACGCCTACTCAGCTAACCTACGGCAGGGTATTTGAGGACTGTCGCGAAATAATTTATAGGTTAGATTGGGACTAATGACGAGCCTTCAGATCCAGATTTGAGCCACCAGTAGTTCGTTTTTTATTCAGCCAGATCGAAGAGTACCAGAACATGTCTTTGAAGACTTGATTGTATCGAGGCCACCTGGCGACCTAGCACCTGTCATCTCTAGCCAAAGTAATGCGGCTAGCACAGAACCACGTCGATGGAGCTCAAAAATATAAACAAAGTAATTATAATGATTATATTGGTTAGGGCTTTCACGGTACTTCAGCGACATTCAATGATTATATTGATAGGAATAGTACGATGCTGGACCCAGAAGTAATTCATTAGTACGGGAGAAGGAAATATTAAGAGCAGATAGTTGTTGTTTCACAGAAGAATCAAAAACACTTTCCGGTTCTGGTGCAGGTGTTTTTAGTCGCAGACCAAGGACAGAGATATCAACCTGCCCAGGAACCTATGCGACTGTATTTCAAGCGGAACTCCCTTGCAAAGGAGGTGATGCCAGCAGCTTCATTGGACCAGAACTTGTCAGTGTCATTGGCAACAAAGATTGAACACCTGGATAGCAAGAAGATCTATGAACTTCTGGCAGAATCTTCCAGGATTGGCTCACTCCAAGGCATTTATTCACCCTTCGAAGCTTGATACCGAACAGTTGTTGGACTACAGTAGCGATGAATTACGATGTCTAACATACCTTCTCACAGGTCACTGTCATTTGAATCATCATATGCAGAGACTCGGACTGTCGGAAGGCAGTATGTGTCGCCTCTGTTAAATGATGAAACAGCAGAGCGTATACTTTGTGCCCCACCTCCGCTGGGGACCGAATCAGGTTTTTAGAGTTTGGCAGAGCCGTACTCTTACCATCTGACCTGAAAGACCACTCACCATACAAACTAATCGGCTTCATTAACAAGCTGGGTCTATTTGATCGAGTGTAAATAGATGTGAGACACAATAAACCTTTGCGGGTTGTGGTCGAAGGTCGAATGGAATCACTCACTTTGTACTTACCCTAACCTAACTTACCTAACCCTATCAGTACCTAGAAGAACACTATCTGAGAAGCATATGTTTCGAATTTGAAGACGCTGTGTTGTTTAGTATTTGTTTGGCAGCCATAATAGCGAATTGTGAATTTGTGACATCGTTGTATGGTACAATATTTTTATTCGAAATGCCTCAGCCCAAATAATATGAAAGCTGAATTGGATTCCACTCTGGATACGTCTGCTCCTCTTTTTACCACAGTGAAATATTGAGTAACAGAGTTGAACGAGGCCGTAAGATCTACCAAGACGAGCATCGCAGTGGTCGACCAAATGGAGTGACGACTCCAAAAACGGTGAAGAAAATCCACAAAGCGGTACTGAATGATCGTCGACTGGAAGTGCGTGAGCTAGCAGACTTAGTAGGCATTTCAAGAAGTGCGGTACATCTATATTATCTGAAAGTTTGGACATGAGAAAACTGTGAGCAAGATGGGTGCCGGGTTTGCTCACACTCGAGCAAAAACAGTATCGTGAATATGTTTCAATTGAGTATCCAGCGAAGTTTCACAACAAGAAAAATAATTTTGGGGCTGTAACGTTATAATTACTGAAGATTTACCAGGCTAGTGCAGTGGAGATTGAAGAGGTATTTTTGGACTAACTTGCGAGTTTCAGATTGTATTAGGTGTCAAGCAAGATTCCTAAAATATATAACGGTAATTTCCTTCCATTTTGTACAAAACAATAAAACACCAATCAAATGTATATGGAATATAATAAAAATAATATGCAATTATATGACAATGTATTTTATATAAATACAATTGAATTTATACAAAGGTACCTGTTAGGGTAGTTCTTACAATGGTTGACTGCACCCTGGTTCGGTGTAGGTTGTCTTGGGTATCTGTCAGAGCTCAATGAGTAGGGCTTCTATATTCACCCTTGTATTCCTTGGAAACGGAACGTGGACCTTGAAGACCAATCGATTCGTTGGGGATCACAGTAGGGCTTCTATATTCGCCCTTGCATGCCTTGAAACTGAGCGTGGATTTGAAGACCAGTCGATTGGTTGGGGATCACAATAGGGTTTTTATTCTCACCCTTGTATGCCTTGGTAACTATACCTTGAAGGTCAACAGTTCAGGTATGACTCACCATGGTGGTGGTATCATGAAAACGATATGAACTAATGATACAACGATGTACATCCGTTGTTTGGGATGCGCGCGGGATAATTTTCATTGACGATCTTGAAAAAGGTGAAATTTGAGTGAAGAAATCGTGCAAAAATGTCCGCATTTGGCTAAGAAAAAAGTGTTATTTCATCAAGACAATGCACCAGCTCACAAACCTATTATCGCAATGACCAAAATTTAACGAATTGCTACCTCATGTACCCTATTCGCCAGATTTACCCTCCTCGGATTATTTCCCGTTCCCAAACTTGAAAAAATGACTCAGTGGTCAAAGATACTCCAACGATGAAGAAGTGATGTTTGCAGTTAATGGCATAATGGCAAGACAGTTTTTATTATAAAATGATTATAAAAAAAAATTGAGTTTCCTTTGTCGGACCGGGATCTTCTGGGATCACTCTCGTATTCAATCGCATCGATCGAACATTCGGAAGTGAAACTTACCTTTTCCAGTAGAAATGAAAGGCAAAATGGAGGCAAACATATTTTTCATGAAAACACTAGTCATAGCTTCTTACCCAACAAGAACCGCATGCAGATTGATCCTTGATGACTTTAATGCTTTCACAGCGAGGCCAATTTTCTCGAGCATCGAACGATTCAGGAATTCCAACGTTTTCACTGTGTACATGTACGTTCATTGGGATGGCTTTTGGGGATGAACGTGATCCTACTAATCCATAAAGGTGCGATAAAGGTGTGTTCTCTTTGAAATTTCTACCAGCTGTCCAAGTGCTTTGTTGATTATTGATGTGATTTATGAATTCATCGGACAATATTCTTGTGGGGATATTAGTTGGGAAAGCTCCTGAAAGAGCTATTACCAAGAAGAAAAATTGAATCCTCATCCTCAATGATTATCTGAAAAGTAAGAAGAATATATTTGCATTTTCATAATGTATCAATATTTATCACATTAATATTCCTCTAGAACTTTGATGCATCCATATTTTTTTGAGGGCGAAACACAAGCACTACAGGAAAATCCTTAAACTAGAAATTTATCCGATGTTTAGATTGGTGTTTTTTTAGGACAAAACGCAAGCACTACAGGAAAATCTTTAGAAAACAAGTACTACAGAAAAATCTCAGAGCGGTGCTTGTGCTTGTGCTTGTGCGATTTACAGTGGATTTGAATCGCTGGAGATTAAATCCATTTTGAAAAACGTTCACAGGAAGTTTATTCTACATAAACGCCGTTCTACAAATGGAAGAGTACTCAAACAATGATGGTCGAGGTGTACTGAGTCGAACCTCAAAACGATGAGCAGCCACATTCCGTCGCGTATTTCTGATTTGTACCGATCTTGGTGGAATCAAGTGTGCCAGGTCACGTGAACACTTCCCTTGAAAGTATCTATAGAAGAGAGACAAATCTCCAACCTTTCTTCGATGTTCCAGACTATCAAGGCTGCAAGTGATGTTCGCGTCTCCAATCAGGCGGATGACTCTTTTCTGGATGGAATCCAGCTGCTTCAGATTATGTTTGGGGACGGAGCTCCATACATGAGAACAATACTCTGATCAGAACTTTATATAGCATCAAAAGTTGCTGAGGTGTGTTCAGTTTTTTGGTTCGGAACAGTGTTTCAAGCTTTTGAGAAGAAGCCTCTGCTATTCCAGCGACATGATTGTGCCAAGACATATTGGTTGGTGTTCATTTAAACCCCCAACAAACTTATCGAAGTAGAAAACGGAATTGTCTGACCGGACATTATTATATCCGGTTCGAAATCATTTATCTTCTTGGAGAAAACCGATGCCTGGGTTTTTGTGGCATTGAATTGAATTTCGTTACTTTCACCTCAATTCGAAATCACTTCTAGATCCTCGTTAAGATTATGTAACCTCCTGCTGCTGGTGAAGATGTGCCTCCGTAGCCGATGTCCTGGAATCCAAATGGAGTGACGAGACAAGGGTGCTGTAGTCAGCAAAGGATTATATTGGATTCTTGGTTCTTTCCAATAAGTCTTTGATATACAATAAAAAGAGGGTTGGAGACAATATGGATATCTGGGGAACACCAGCGTTGATGGTGAAAGTATTCGAGAGGTATCCATCGACGGAAGCTGAAGAGCCATACACAAAAAAAATTCGACAAGTCATAGAATCGAAGTTTGGCCAGCAAACCCTCTTGCCACACACGATCAAAGAGCATATAAATATCAAGCTCTGACTCTCCATGTTTTTCGATTGCGTTATTCCAAATATGGGTGACATAGGTACGATAGAAGGTCGCCTATTGACCTGAAAGCCATATTTGTGATCGCTCAAGATGTTGAAACCTTCCAAATTGTTGAGGATATGGTGGTTCATGGCTTTCTCCATGAGTTTTGATAATACTGATAGCAAAGCGACTTGTCTATAGTTACTTGGGAGAGTTTTCTTGGCTGAACGCGAGCAATCTTCCAACAAGACGGAAACACTCCTTTATTGTAAGACAGGTTGGAGAGTCTGTAAAATACTGGTGCGAGCTCAGTTGCGCACTTTTTAAATACGATGACGAGCACTTCATCATGATCAGACGCCTTGTTGATATTGAGCTGTATAACAATTCGCCTGACTAGACGCTGCCGAAAGGTAATTTCTGGCATTGTGGACTCCAGTGTGGAAACAGTGAGTGGTGCTTTTCATAGAAAATCGACTATGGAGTGGGACACAAATGTTCAGCTGGTAGATACGCTTTTTCTATGGCTGTTATTGCAATTGAACTATTCGCTTCGCTTGTGTTAGTGGTGGAATTGTGAATTTTGTAAAGTTCTGATTAACAGCTTCAGCTACCGACCAAAAGGACCTAGACTCGTTGGGATTGGCAAGCAGTTTATCCCTGATTCTCTGATAGTGAAGTTCTTCACTTTCATTTATCCTGAATTTTGATTTACTGTTCTTCGAAAAAAATACTGAACATATAAAGTAATCGATAACGATTCTCATACAGACATCCCATTTTATTCTGTTTTTCGAAATTACGTTGTTGAATTGATTCTACAAATGAAACCACGTAGCTATTGTTTTCAGAACTACTTTTATGAACTGATGAAATACAATCCCTACATTGTTAACATTCTATCTAACATCTTTTTGAAAAGTTTGAGTTTGAAAGAAGACATATGTCTGAGAAAGGAATGAGAAATAGTTATAGTTATTATTGAGACACTACAAGAAAAATAAAAAAATCTTCCACTTCACGGGACACAATTTGAAAATTACCTTCAATATACACTTTAATTTTTAAATCACACTTTTTACCTTTACCTTGAATACACTTATTTTCAGATTCACTATATCTAAATCTAATTCATTGAATATTTCAACGTGAAGGAATAAAGCAATTCACGGAACCTTCTTTCAAGTGCTAAATAATGATTTTTTGTATAAAATCAAAACTGAGTTATGACGAAAATAATGGTGGTCCCCAGGGTAAAAGCAACATTCGGTAGAGGGTAAATTTTGGGTCTAATCTCCTGAAGTCGCCAACTTGATTGGTGAAACGCGTGTCTAAAAGAGTGTTGCAGTTATGAATTTTCAGAACAGTGCTTGTTTTGGATTTATTCTATGCCAGAGCTTCCAGTTCTATCTTTAATAAAATAGTATATCATGACAGAGTTGAAAAATCTGTACTCACCTGTGTTTGGAGTTGAATACTGAAAATTTGTTTTATTTAATCTATACTGATCCAACCAATTGAACTTTATCTCTGAATCATATCGATCAAGTGGATTTTGATCAACTGATATCGAGTGTATACTACGTAAATGGATGCTTTTTTCTTTATATAAAATTTGATGGAATCGACCGATACTTCGTAAAAATCCATAACTAACGTATTCAAGAAACACTTTATTGTGGGTTTTTCACTAAACAGTTTCACAAAAACGCAACACGTGTTTCGTTATATAATAGCTTCTTCAGGCGTGTCTATACTGACTGAAATCTACACATTTAATGCTTGGGAATGAATCAATAAACATTAGCATAAGAGAATAAGAGAAATTGGACAGAGTGGGCCAAATTGGACACTTTTGAAGTGGAACTTCTCTTTTCAAACTGAATAGATGAAAACTGATAGCTGTGTCTGAGAGTGAAATTTTATGAATCTCATAAGAGATTCCATTATCTATAATGGTTGCAAAATGTTCAACCATTTGCCAAAGAATATAACAGAAATAAAATCTTTACAATGCTTCAGGAAAGCTGTGAAAATTTTTTTAAGTGACAGACCATACTATAATGTACAAGAATTTTATAATGATAATTTTTAATTCATCAGTCAACAGTTAGTAGGATAATAGCTAAGTTTAAATCTACTGGCTCGGTTTAGAGTAATTTTAGAAAAGCACATCAGCCATCACATTCAGTTATATTGCCAATTGCATATGCAGGAAATTGTCTGTGAAGATTCCGGCACTGACGCCTGTCGGACATAATTCAACGCCCTTCGTGGTATTAGCCAGGGGAGTAGTTGTTTTCTGATAGGCGTCAGTCCATTCAACCTACTGTGTAGGTATATTTGAGACTGGCTTGAACGTTCAAAGTTCATTCCTTTAGAAAGTCTTTTATGTCATATTATGCAGTAGAAAACGAAGTTATATAGGGAGTTTGTAGGTAAGCTGAAAGTGTCAAATATAAAATTCAACACTGGCGATTATAGAAATTACCGGGATTGTCAAACTTATAAGTTGAACGTTTGTTTGAAGGTGATTGACAATGTTTCATGATGAATTTCACTGGTTCGGACTTCCATTGTCTACTATATAAAATGATTTGAAATCCGTTGAAGATCATTTTCGATGATGTCTAATTCCTTCTCGAGACCTTCCTTTGTATTACAGAGCCCAAAAGCACGGTCTAATAGGGTCTTGATGATTCCTCTTTTAGTCGATTGATGGTGGTTGGATTCGTGGTTCAGATACCGTCCCGTATGAGTGGGTTTTCGGTATACAGATGTTTTCCACTTAGTGTCGGTCCTCTTCACCAAAACGTCTACTCCAAAGCGATTGTAGAAAAGATTTTAGCCAAAAGACAGCAGGAGCCTCGCAAGGAAGAGAAGCCGTCACAACCAGTACTTGCACTTCCCTACATCAGAGGATTATCGGAGAGGATAAGAAGAATTGGTTCCAAGTACAACATCAGAACCTGTTTCAGATCCGGTAACACTATCCGTAGTAGCCTCACGAAAACCAGGCCCCCAAACGCGGACTGCGATACCAAGAATTGCATTTACCGGATACCCTGTGAGTGCGGAAAATCCTATATTGGTGAAACTAAGAGGCCATTGAATGTTCGCATTGCCGAGCACAAGAAGCACACACAGCGAGGGGAAACCAGCAAATCAGAAATAGCAGACCATGTTTGAACCCATCAACACAACATCGAGTGGTCCCAAGCTGAGATCTTGCACAAAGAGGAACATTGGTTTAGGAGAAAATTCAAGGAAGCCGTATACATGTTGTCCAACAACGTATTCAGCCAGGCCAGCGTAGAAATACGCAACATATGGTAACCCATCATCAAGCGAAAAATGGCCAACTCCCGCCAAAACGGTCATCTCCCACGAAACCAGTGAAGCGGAAAATGGAAGGCAGGGATAAGTGAAAGTATTTCAACGACCTATAAATCGTCATCTCTCGGAGGAATCAGTCCAGTCATCACCCGAAGACGATTGTAGATACTAACAATCGAAACGTCGTGAACTAACGTGACTTGGAATCTCTACACTTTTTATTATTTTCTTTTTTCAGTCCTTTATTTTTATTTATTCAATTGTTATATTTTCACTTGTAGTTTATTTCACCATTATTTCATTTCAGGTTTATTTTGCTTAATATAATTGTTATTTTCAGCTATTCATTTTTAATTATTCTTTTTTAGTTGTTTCAGGGATTTCAAATTATTTTATATAGTAGACAATGGAAGTCCGAACCAGTGAAATTTATAAGTTGAAGAGTGGTTATCTACATGAATCGAGTTTCTCGTTTAGGGGTATATATTTCGGGTTTTTGATTGATTTATTGATTTTCATGGCTTCCAACAAATTCATTATCTTATCTTTATTACATGTTTCATTCATTTCAATGAATTGATCATTTTCAATTGTTCAATTTTCGATATTCCATGTATTTTTATTTTATTGTAATTTCATTTTGGATTTTATTGCTCAATAAAATCGATATTTTTAGCTATTCATTTCAATTCAATTTTTTATTTCAGAGATTTCCAATCATATCAACTTCATATTACAGAATGGAAATCCAAAGTAATGAAATGCACCATGAAACATTGTCAACCACTTTCAAACAAACCTCGATGATTCTTAGATAACTTCAAGAGGTTGAATCCGAAGTTGAATAAGGATACCTAAAAAAAAACCATTGGCTTACTCTTTAGTGATTCAACTTCAGAAAGAGGTGAGTAGAATATTTTCAACAAGTCAAGTTATTGAAAGAGATTATTCGCGCTTGTCCCATATTTCGTGATTGATTCATTGACATAATATAAGTTTTGAAACGATTTTTTTTTGTTATATCCATCCTCATTTTACAACAAATGCTAGTTACGATTCGAATATCTTCCCGAGTACCCCCAATCTCATTGTTATAATATCTTGAATGGTAATTTCATTTAATTTAACAGGCTTTTATTAGCTTCACCTGTATATATGATGTATGTATATTTGCTTGTTTGTTTGTAACTCCAGAATTATCTATATTATTGCTTGATCAATTCGCGGGCAGATGGCACATTACGTAATGTCCTTGATATAATTCGAACTCACTTAACATGTATTTCTTCATTTGAAAAAAGTATTTTGTCTTTATTAACACGGGCGCCTGCTGCCTTATTTGTAACCCTCCTTTACGCGCCTGCTGCTTTGTGCTTGGTAGCCGATTTTCAGGCTCCTTCTCCGGAATTGTTGTGGAATTGGCCGCGGTGTTAGTGCGCCCGATTCACGATCGGAAGGCCGTGGGTTCGATCCCCGCCTCGACCAGATATTTTTCTCGAGAGAATTTATCTGGTTGGAGCTGGGATGATTCTGCAACCGTGTTAGGAATCACGTTGAAAGGTGAGACCTTGTTAATCCTTAGCTCGCACAATTTTCTCAACTTCTGAGAGTTGACGTTCTTATGGGGGCGACAGCTGATTAACAGATTTTGAACAGATTTTGAACAGAAATCGGAAAATATCAATAGTAATTTTTCTAAACAATATACGGCTGATTGATCTCAAAGTTTAGATAAAAAACACACTTTTATAGCATACGAAATGAAAAAAATTAAAAACTAATATAGTTTAAAAACTAAAAACACGCTTTTAAAAAACATCGAACTAAAAAGTTGAAAATTTTTTTGAAGTGAGCTTTAAACAATAACGAACGGAAAATACTAGTATTATCGTAAAAAAAGCGTGGGCGCTTTGTGCCGTATTTTTTGTATATCAAGCACCCGTCGCTTGTTCGTTATTGTTTCAAGCTTATTTTAAGAAAATATATTTTTAACTTTTTAGTTCGATGTTTAGTTTTTTAGTTTTTCAAACGATATTTTTTTTTTTACTTCGAAAAAAGTTATATTGTTTACTGTTTTCATTTTTGTACCAACTCGGATCTAATGCTCTTTATTATTTCTGAAAATCTCAACCTAGTTGAAAATACATTCTTCTGGTTAATCTGAGCTGCTTCCGAATTCGCCTGACTGGGTGTTGCCGAAAAGTAATTCCCGGCATTATGGATTCTATGGATCGAACCATCCGCTTGTGTTAGTGGTGGAATTGTGGATGTTGTAAGTTTTGATTAACAGCTTTAGCTACCGACCAGAAGGATCTAGACCCGATGGGAATCTGAAACAATTTTTTTTGCACACATAATTGAATTGATTCTTATTTTGCGATTAATATTTTACATATTTTCAATATGTGAGGGATCCAAAACAAATTTTATAGTGCAATATTCATTAGTACTCCGATTTTTCCATTATTTACAGAAGTATTCAAGATGAAGATAGTCTTCTGCTGCATTGTCGTTGCCATTTTTAGAACATTTTCATATGGGATCGACCCAAATCCCTTTTCCGATGAATTCATAGATTACATCAATAGCCAACAAATCACTTGGACAGCTGGAAGAAATTTCGACAAAAATACTCCGTTGTCTCATATACGTAATTTACTTGGAGCCATCAAACCTCCAGAGCTCAGATCAGAGAGGCATGTTGCTTTTCTTAAAGAAGATCGGCCAATCCCTGAATCCTTCGACTCTCGTGAAAACTGGCCGAACTGCCAGATTATCGGAGTAATTAAGGATCAGTCCGCTTGTAGTTCCTGCTGGGTAAGAATAAAGAAACCATTTCTTGTAGAACATTTTCGAAAGTGGTTGGTCAATAAAAAGGCTATAAGATTTTAGCATTGTTGTAGTTATGTGGAGGAGATTGTAGTTTGAATATTACCTAAGTGGAGTCACTTTATATGAATAATAATCGTGAAGATGAAATATTGAAATTTTCAACTCATTTTTCTCAATACTGGATGACAGGATGAAGAAGCTGTATGCATTTTCTTCATCCTGTCATCCGTTCAATGAACCCCAATGATATTTGTTTAGACTGTATTTTCGTATATAGCAGTTTTTCTTCTATATACAGCGTGACTCACGGTCGATGGTAGGTTAGACGTTTCTGGAAAACGCAAAGCATGTTTTTCTGAAAATTCCACTTCTCACATTTCCTTACCTGTTCTATCGATCTAAAATATTTTCAACATTGCGGCGTTACCACTTCCATCAAAAAATCCTACTTTATTTTTTTAAATAGAATACCCCGTATATCAATACATTTTTGGAATCGGTCTGGTATCTTAATACTTTTTTGTTGATAATGTAGTATACCTATCTCTATCTGTTTTCGAGTTAAAAAATAAATTGTGCTAAATATGGTCAAAAACAGCCTTAATTGAAATTAAGTACATCAGTACTCTCAATTCATGAAAAGTTGATATTTTGATGATAGTTTGGACAAACTCGAAATATTCAAATAACACCAAGAAATCGACTCCATATGATACAGGGTGTGCTTGAATTACTATTATTTTCATTGTGCATAAAAGTAGTCAAAAGTTCATTTTTTCAAATGGAACCCTCTGTTAACTCGGTAAATTGAAAGATGGTGAAAAATGCTTCAAGATGATATACCTAATATGTCCCATTACCTAAATCGCCAAGTTTTCACAATAAAGTCGCTTCTTCTAGAAACATTTTTTTTTAGAATTTGGATTTAGGAAGCAGTGGAATTATCAAGCTTATAGCAGTTCGGTTACTTTTATAAGTAATTTACAAAGAGTTATCGACAGTATTTCGAATCATCTTTCAAAATGAATGCATATATCGATTATTCAAACGAAATTCTTATGAAATTATTTATTGTAGGGGAGAGTGTTGTACCATGGGACGATTTTATTGTTTTAATTTTTGCTAAAGACATTTTGAAATAAAAATTACTTTTATCATTTTCCACGCGATAAGTGGTATTTTTGCTCTTCATGAAGAAGTCGTTGAGTACCTTATGTTGTAAAATAATCATGACATAACAAAACATATTGCAAATTGTCTCAAGGTACAACCGGTGCATGTACCTTAAGACATTCCTGCATGTTCCTCGGGTCAAAACCAACAAATGAGAGTTACAAGATGAGTACGAAAAACAAATATCCAATATGCACAATATTTTTATTAACTAGTACATGTTGAAGGACATGAAGTCTATTTGAAAAGGGAATTGTTCATTCAGCCGTTCGGATCCACCCACTACCGATGATTTTGGCAATTTTCTTAAAATATCTGATTCTGTTATTGCATAAAGCTGCTCAGTCTTTACAAACTTGCTACCGTTCATGATTTTCTTTAGGTAAATAACATCAAAACCGTCTTCTGATTTTTTTTTTAATTTCTGCTATGCAGTGTTGCACAGACCTTTTTCCTTTCAGTTCTACTAACACGAAGTCTCCTTCCAGTATTATTTCATTTTCCATATTTATTTCTTGATCTCTTTCGGTATTTTCAGCTTCCACTAGTCTTTCCAAATAGTTGCTGTCATCACTAGAGTTATGCACAGACATTTCTACATCATCGTCTGAGCTATCATTAAAAACTTGTCTTGTCACTTTTCGAACTTTCGGCTTAGACTTTTTAGCTTGTCTGTCCAAAAACGCCATTTCAATCTCATTCTTCTCGGGAGTTTCAGTTAATATTCAGTTAATCTCTGGGGTCACTATGTTTTGATGCAATGGCCCAATATTGTCAACATCGTCAATTGCTTCTGTTACAACTTCAGTTGGATCTGCTCGGTCTGTGACGAAACTGCTCAAGAATTCGTCATCACCAAAAATATCTGAATTTAAGGGGCAAATTCCCGTAACCGCAAACCCCTTTGTGATGTTTTTCTGTGTTAATGCTTTTGGATATGCTTTTCCAATTATTTCAGCGACTTGGTAAAGACTAATTGGTTTTCCTGGATTTTGAAGCATCCATTTATTAACAGCTTGATTGTAAAAGGTTTTATAAGGACCAAACACAGTCCTATCCAAAGGCTGTAATTTGTGGGATGTGTGTGGTGGAAACGTAAGCAATACAACACCATGTGCTTTGGCCAAATTAATTACAGGAAGTGGAATATGGCTCTCATGGTTATCATACACCAAAAGTACTGGATTGTTATTTGATGATTTCACATGGTCGATAAAATGCTTCATAAAACTTAAACATTTTTCTTCATTAGACCACCCTGAAGGATTAGCAGCACCAATGGTGCCTGGAGGCGCTCCGTTCAGCATGTGCTCTTTGAAATGCACTCTTGGAAAAATGAGCATCGGGGGCACATGGTTCCCTACAGCATTAATACCAGCTATCATCGTAATATTGACTCCACGTTCGCCTGACGTCATAGAACCTACTTGTTTCACTCCCTTAGCAGCAACAATACGAGGTGGAATGTGAACTGTCGTGTTTCCGGTTTCATCGACGTTGTATATATTACTTGCCGAAAACTTATATTTTTCTTGACATTTTCTCAGTTTATCAAAAAATTCGGATACATTTTTTTTGTTAAAACTCGTTGAGCGCGATAAACTGGTAGGCTCTGCTTTTCGCAATGATAGTTTTTCATGACGCTTTAGGAACCAGCGCAGCCACTCTCTACCGGCTCTTCTCTCTTTAGTCCATACTTCTGGCATGTTTTTGTTATTTTTTTTGGCGTTCTGATAAGCCAATGTACGGATTTCTTGTTTGGTTAAGCCATAATGTAGCCGAGAGGAAAACAATAAATAGTCCTCAAGCTGCTTCTCTTCTTCCTCTGTGAATATTTTCTTTACGGCATTGGTAGCTGAATATTCAAAGTCGGGTTTGCCGGATTCGCGATGAAGCTTAATGTGGCGTGCCAAAGTTGACTCACTTACATTGTAAGTAGTTGCTGCATCTCTAATACTTACTTTATGCTGAAGCACGGCTTGAACAACTAATTTAAGGTTAGGGATAACAATAGGAGTCCTCTTTTTGCCAGTGTTACTTCGCGCTATCTTGATAAATCTGTAAAAAATCACAGTTGGCGAAAAAGCAGCACAGGAAACATCCTTAATTTACGTTTTTTATAATAACTTAAATTGCATGTACTTTTGGACAGTCCCAAGGTTCATGCAATTTACTGTCCCAAGGTACGTGTCATGTTTTTTTGCTAAATTTGGTTGATTAAATTGTGTAGATATTCCATATCATCAAAGGAAAGAGAAGATATTAAAGTATAAACTTACATTGTCCGGCTTTGTTAAAATTTCAAAAGAAGATCCAAACACGTACAGTTGCGAGGATGAAAAAGTAAACTTGTTGAGGTTAAAAACAAAAATATTATCTGAAACACGTGTACCGTTTCGGAGTTCAAATCCGAAAGGCAAGGTCAAACGTCTGCACACTACGGTTGCTCTATCCGATCTGTTTTGCTGACTACCGGGAAATATCGGCTGTGGCTCTTTTGTCCCGAGGTACATGCGTCCCGAGGTACAACACCTTCCCCTACACATGAACAAAGTGATCAAATCATTGTCAGAACGTGTAAAAAATTCCACCAAATGTATCCTGAATTAACACCAATGAACGAGAGGAAGTTTGTAAGGTTACAAAATAATTTCCTTAACTATGGATCAAAGTTTCCAGGGAACAACTGTACCAAAAATCAGTCATTTCTAGGTGAAAAGTGAGTTTTTGTGGGCTAAAACATGTGAAAGTACAGACAATAACAGAATAGGATGATTCGAAATAACAAAATTGTAAACAAAATATCACATTTTCACAATAAATGCACATTACATTCTAAACACTTTGAAATGTTTTTTGTACGCGACTTGTGGTTGCCTTTTTAATTTCCTGAGGATCCAGATCTTCAATACTCCGCACTATTCGCCGTCGCAATTCTTCTTTGGTAGGCACTGGAGTACTGTATACCCTTTCTTTCAAAACACTCCATAAAAAAGTCAAGTGGCGTGAGATCGGGTGATCTCGGTGGCCAATCCCACGGCCCTAAACGCCTAAACCAATGATCGTCGAAGAGTTCGTCAAGTTTCCTGGAAATTTCCTGGGTGGAATGAGCTGGTGCTCCGTCCAGTTGAAACCACGAATTCCTATATTCCTCTAAAGGCAAATTTTCAAGAAAATCGGTTACAGTCGTCCTTAATATTTGGAGATATCTCTCTGCATTCAGTGTGTCTTCATAAATGAAAAAGCTAATTTCATTGTTCTTCAGAATACAGAAAACATTCAGGTCAAATTTTTCTTCTCCCCATTTCTTTTGTAACATGAGGATTATGATCATCCCAAAATTGTTTATTTTTTCTATTGAAAATACCATCCCTCGTAAATTTTGATTATTCGCTCCAAATTATTTTTGACAAAAATTCCCGATCTTCCTGTGTATGAATCAAAATGGATTCACAAAAATGCATTCTACGTTCGAAGTCTTCTGCTTTTAGAGCTTGAACTTTAGTAAATTCATACGGATGCATTCCGTGATTTTTCAAAATTCGTTGTACTGAAGCATGTAATACACCTAAAGTTTTTTCTGTAATGCGAATAGAAGCTTCTGCCAAAACGTTAACAGTATTGTCCTCATTTGAAGTAATAGGTTTTGGTAATGTTGAAGGTGCTTTTAACATGGAGCCATAGTTAAGGAAATTATTTTGTAATCTTACAAACTTCCTCTCGTTCATTAATGTTAATTCAGGATACATTTGGCTGAATTTTCTACAAGTTCTGGCAATGATTTGTTCGTGTATAATAAATAATTTCATAAGAACTTCGTTTGAATAATCGATATTTTCATTCATTTCGGAAGATGATTCGAAACACCGTCGATAACTTTTTGTAAATTACTTATAAAAGTAACCGAACTGTTATGAGCTTGATAATTCCACTGCTACCTAAATCCAAATTCTAAAAAAAATAATGTTTCTAGAAGAAGCGACTTTATTGAGAAAACTTGACGGTTCAGGTATAGGGACATGACATATCATCTTGAAGCATTTTTCACCATCTTTCAATTTACTACTTTTATGCACAATGGAAATAATAGTAATTTTAGCACGCCCTGTATGATATGGAGTCGATTTCTTGGTGTTATTTGAATATTTCAAGTTTGTCTAAACTATCATCAAAATATCAACTTTTCATGAATTAAGAGTACTGATGTACTTAATTTCAATTAAGGCTATGTTTTGGACCATATTTAGCACAATTTATTTTTTATCTCAAAAACAGCTACAGATAGGTATAGGACATTATTGACAAAGAAGTATTAAAATACTAGAGCGATTCCAAAAATGTATTAAAAAAATATAATTGCTAGGACTGTTTGATAGAAATGGCAATGCCGCAATGCTGAAAATATTTTAGATCGTTAGAACAGGTAAGGAAATGTGAGAGGTGGAATTTTCAGAAAAATCATGCTTTGCGTTTTCTAGAAACGTCTAACCTACCATCGACCGTGAGTCACGCTGTATGTTTTTCATCATTATTCGTTTTCTTCTGGGAATCGTCAGACTTGTCTATTTCTTCCAAATCTCTGAAAAATCAGCTGATTGCCATTTTCTCGAGCTTTTCTATGAGAACCATTATTGCTGCTGTGATTACGACTTATTTTCAAAAAACAATTTCGTTTTCTGAAAAGTCTATCGATTCATCTCATAAATCTGTTCAAGATCGGTTTTTCTAGTAATCATATGTCACTCCATTACAAACAACCACCCTCAGAATTCAAAACTTGTGAGGATTGAGGATTACCGAGGTGTTAACTTTCAAAGTGCGACTGCTAGCATGTATGCTAAAAAATTAGTTCTGAAAATGAACATAGTTCAAACCTTTTATGGGAGCTACAATTAGTTTAGGAAGATAAATTATTCCATTTCGAGGACATCCAGGGCTCGAGGACTTGAAACATCCAAAATTCAAATAATGACTCTCCTGTTGATCATAGGAATTTTCAAGCAAATTTTCCGATACAGAGCTGAAAGAAATGAAGCTCTCTGAGAAATACTGCATGACGTTTTGCGTTTATCACCATCTTTGTCATGCAGCCATTCCAACAATCTCATTTCCTGTACTTGTTCATACAAATCCCTCACTGACTGTTCATGATTCATTTGCTTTCAGTAATTCAGTGTCTCAAATTTGATAATGTATGACGAGCTATTTCTGACCCTTGTTGCATTGTCTGCAGCTGGTGTATGAGCCTATTTTGTTCAGATATCGTTTCGATGATCAGTGTCAAGTAAATAGCCCTGTGATTGTTCTGAGCCAATCCCTGCTCTGTTGAAGCTTTCCATCATTCCTCGTCTGGAACAGCCTCTTCATAGAACTTTTTCCATGTGTTTTCGGGTGTATTTTCCATGTACTTTTCATGTTTCTCACTCTGATTCTGTACCAAATCTCCACAACTGAATAATCCTCTACAGTACACTACAACACTCACTTGTGAGAATGATGTCTCAATAACCACCGTCAAGGAATGCCTCAGAAGACATAAGTTTCATCCCGATAAACTGAAGATATTAGATCAATTGAAAGAAGATAACTCAGACAGAAGAATGAAGTTTTATAAGTTAATGTCCCAACTTTTGACTGCAAATTGAAAATATATAAAAGTATTCGTTTTAGTGTAGAATGCACTTTTCTCTCAAATGGAAATTTTAGCCGCCACAATGGGCGATATATGTCAGAGATAAACCCTGAAATTTTTCGAAAAAGTCACGCTCAAAAAATTCCTGGGTAGAATATTGGGAAATGAGATTATTGGTCCGATATAAGTATGTAGACGAAAATTTGAGGGACGATTCACTTTTGGAAATTCTTCAAAGCCTTATTCACCAACAGATTGGAAAAATCGTGGCCAACAGTTGGTTGTTTTCCAATAAGATGGTGTACCTCTACGTTTTCTTGCCTGTGAACGCTTGGTTGGATCATATTTATCATAGCAAGTGAATTGGTTGTCACGGTCCGTTGGAATAGCCTTGTCGTTCACCAGATTTGGATCCTCTCGAATTTTACCAAAGCTTGTGCTAGCACAACCCCAAAAACATTCCCAACTGTTAGAAACGAGTTCGGACCGTTTTTCTGCCAGGAGGTTCAATGAGAATATTTTGAACATTTGTCAAATTATGTTCTCACGTATAAGAGCAAGCAAGTAGGTAATCAATTTTAAAAGAAGTAACTTTATACATAGATGTGTTGATCATGCAAAGAGGTAACTCTCAAACACAAACTGGAAGAGAAAGCCCTCTCAGTTATTTTCATATAAATATTGAATTACACGAAAGAAAAATTCTTTCGGATACTTTTATATGAACACTGAATTATACTTCTTTGCATGATCTACACATCTATGTATGAAGTTACTTCTTTTAAAATGAATTGCCTCCTTCCTTTCTTTGGAAGATTCTCACATTTTTTTGTATCAAGATGGAGTGGTAGAAAGCCAAAAACTTTCTATCCAAAAAAATTAGTCACTCCTTAACATGTAACCCTTTCAAATGAATAATAATGAAAACATTTTAATGTTTCATTTTAATTTTAATTTTAATTTCATATTTCAAAACTTCTTTGACATCTGTCGAAGAAGTAAAGAAATAAGCTCTCAAAAAAGGAATAACTGCATATTTATTCGAATTTTTATCCATTTCTGAAGACGGAGGCAGATTTTGGCCTCCGAAACGTAAAAGATAAGTATAATTTTTTTTCAGACATTTTGATAATATAGGTAGGTAATATGAAAACTGATTTTGACAAATAAAGTTACTTAGGTCAGAATATAGGACAAACAAAAGAACAGGATTCTTGATTGAAAAATTATGGGTTTCTATTGGTTGATAATCTGTATCGTTATGAAAATTCTGTATCATAATGGATATCATTATGAAACGGATTATGGTCATATAAGTGTATTGTTAGAGTACGGGTGTAGAAAAATATAATTGACTTACTGATGACTTTGTTGTGTCTCTTAATTATCACTGTCAGACATATTTTATTATAAATTATTTCTAAAAATTATTTGGTAAAATACAGGTTATGTATACTGTAGTAAACACAACTGTATACACTATAGGTATCCAAGCTTAGTGTGGCGAGAGAGGTTGCGAGACGCCGAACCAGTGGGTCAAGAATCGCACAGTCGCTATGCGCATAGCAACTCGTCACCACGGCATGCGTCGCCACGATAGCAATCGGTTTTACGTGCGGCTATAGATGTTTCCCATTGAAAAATGTTTTGTTTGCCGTAGAAGTTTATGTGGAAAATGGTAAATTTCATAGTTTTTTAGATGAATGAAAACAACAACCATTTTTTGAATCAAGCACGCTCTGAAGAATCACATACATAGTGCATCCGACACACCGAGTTCCCATTATGCAATTTTTAATTTGTGACATAATCATAGATTTCTTTCTTTTTTAATCATTTTCGTATAAACAGGGCGGCCCTAAAAATAAATTTCACTCAATCGAATTTTGAATAAAAGTGAGAATCAATCTGATGCCAACAAATCGTTTTTCATGAAACTACGACCTTTTGAATTATAACCGTGCTTCCAAACTGAGATGCGAATAGAAAACATTTTTATTCCAAGATTGATGTTAGGAATAATTGATTTTCAATAAGAAGTGTAACTCGACCACTTATATAGAAAAATAATTCATTTTGCAGGCTGTTGCAGCAACTTCCGTAATGAGTGACAGGATTTGCATTCATTCCAATGGGGAAACACAAATATACGTTTCAGACGAAGATTTATTATCATGTTGTTCAGACTGCGGGAAAGGATGTCAAGGAGGATATCATTTTGAAGCGTGGGGTCATTGGTACAAAAAAGGTCTTGTTTCAGGAGGACTTTATAATTCGACGACGGTAATAGCGATAATAACATATCATTCATCATTCGTTTTTACATAAATCAAATACAAAGAAAGTAATACAAATCATGAAATTATGAAACAACAAAAATTATTTAGCCCTCCGGGGCGACTTCATTGATTCCAGTGGCGCATTTACTTTTTCAGCTGCAGGAAAACCCGAAAAAACCTGCAGCACCACATAATGTCCTCTCTTTCATAAAACAAAATGTAGGGTGTCTCCAGAGGCTTCAATGAATATATTAGGGTTGGGCTTCCACATGAAATAGAAATTATAGCTCACACTGAAACACTACAAGCAATTAAATACAGTATACTGAAAAATACCTTATTCCATTGAACCTTCACGAACTGATATAAAGTTATTCATTATTTCAATGTGTTCAATTGTAAAATTTTTGCCGAATTTTGTATTTGAAATGTTATATTTGCATAGAAGCATAAACATTATAGAACCTTTTAGTTAATTTCTGTCAGAAGGACAAATGAGTTCATGACTGAGAGGTGGTGACGACATCAAAGTCCTCAGACATCAGTACCGCCCTTTACGGTGTACCCCTACCTGGTTGGGGTGGATTGGAAAACAAATTGTTCGTCAATTAAAGGGGGACATGAGAGTCTCATTCGACAGAGTGTCGGGGCCTTCTATTTCGGGAGGGGTCGGGTCGTCTACAGTGTAATCAATTGCTTCGATGTGATAGTTCGATGTGAGTTCCTTATTTCCAAGCATCCCAATATCACAAGCTCTAGAGTGTTTGAGGGATCTTCTGAAATCGAACAACTTAGCAAATGAAGCTATTGAAGAATACATTCAACTCACCAAGCTTTGCATGGATCAAAATTTTTTTCAATATAATGGCTCATATTATGAACAGCGTGAAGGAACGGCTATGGGTAACCCATTGTCTCCATTTATAGCGAACCTATTCATGGGTAGGTTTGAGACGGAAGCTGGGAAAGAACTCAGTTATTTCCCTAGGGTCTGGATCAGGTATGTTGATGACATATTCGCTGTAGTGGATACAAGGATAACCAGAATTGAGAATGTCCTTTCAGCACTAAACAACAGGTGTAAGAGTATAAAATTTACATATGAAGTAGTAGATGTATTGGTCATAAGGAACGAACAGAACGAAATAGAATTAGACATTTACAGGAAAGACACGGGCACTTTCAGATATATTCCCAATGACTCGAATCATTTTTCACAACACAAAATGGCGGCACTGCAATTTCTGGTACATAAGTTAATAACTTTTCCTTTGAAAAAAGATAAGTACGACAATGAAAAGAGAGTGATTCGGTATGTAGCTGAAGCAAAAGGTTTTAACCCAGATATAGTCGACAAGATAATTAAAAAATGCAAGTTTAGGAAAGCATTCGTAACTCTTCGACTTTTCAAAAAGAGGAGAGTAATAACAAGTTTATAGTAATCCCATATGAACCCCAATACACGAGAGGGCTTCAACAGATATTCGATAAAGTAAATATGAAAGTTGCATATAAAACTTCTTATAAATTGCAACAGCTTCTTGGTGATCCAAAATACGACAATGAAAAGAGAGTGATTCGGTATGTAGCTGAAGCAAACGGTTTTAACCCAGATATAGTTGACAAGATAATTAGAAAATGCAAGTTCAGGAAAGCATTCGTAAATCTTCGACTTTTCAAAAAGAGGAGAGTAATATCAAGTTTATAGTAATCCCATATGAACCCCAATACACGAGAGGGCTTCAACAGATATTCGATAAAGTAAATATGAAAGTTGCATATAAAAGTTGCATATAAAACTTCTTATGAATTGCAACAGCTTCTTGGTGATCTAAAAGATAGACTAGAAAACACAGAGAGGTTGGGGATTCATGAAATCAGTTGTCAAGATTGCATCAGCAAATACATCGGCCAGAGCCGACTAGCGATTAAAAACCGCTCCAAGGAGCATTGTGCACACATGAAATATGGAAGGATGTAAAAATTCAGTGTCGCTCAACATGATCTAGACAAGAATCACAGAATTGGTGAAAACAATCTGAAACTGATTAAGCATGTGCATGACACCAGGCTACTCGATGCATGTGAGAGTCTAGAAATAGCAAAATGAGAGAACAGCATGAATGGCGATAAGGGACCCATCCCGTTTAGCCCGCTTTTTAATCTTCTGTTGGGAAGAGAATAATTACTAAGAACTTGCAGGTAGTTGATTACCGAGAAATTCCATATTGGACTTCAGGTATACAACCTCAGGTAACAAATTTTAGTATAAAAGGAATAACCAGACTAGACTAGGTATCAACTTTCTTCTCCTGAGGATGCTAACTTTGTTGGCGAAACGCGCGTCGGTTGCAAAAATATCAGTTTGGTGTTAGGGCAATTGATCTCGAAAAAAGTTATTCAATAGCTTCCCTAACTAACGGAGGGAACATGTGATCGGACGAGAACTGGCATTTTTCAACGTGGTATGGCCGTTGCATATGGAGGGAACATGTGAAACTAAGAAAAGTACTTAATGAAAATGACTACGTGAACGCAACCGAGGCATGAGTGGAACCACCTATTGGTGTGACACCCAAGTTGCCAAATTATCGAGTCAGTCTTGGTGATTTAATTAACCAACCGACAATTGCGGTAGTAGTCATTTGGGAAGCTATGCTGGAATGCCATAGGAAAACGAATCCAAATGTTTCTAGAAATGATATGAAATCGAGAAAGGTTATATGCTCACTGTCAACAGTATATGTCAGCCGCACACTGAAGTTCATCAATGAGAAGTGAAACTTCCTATGTTTTCATATCATTTGCTACTAACACCGTAGCTTCCTTGGTAGCATTAATTCATTTCTACCGAGAAAGCTACGAGGAAGCTTCCAGATGCGAAACGCGTCCAGAAATAAAATTTTTTGTGAAAATTGTGTAATTTTCATCATGGATGATGTTATTGTATTGTATAGTAGTAGTGTATTGTATTTTATTGTGCTTTATTGGTCAGTATTACATGACATAGTGTTTTGACAAGTCATTGACTACACCTAATACTAAAACTAAATAAAATTTGTTTAAGAATAAAATATACCTATCGAATTTCACAATAATAATTATACATTTTCATGTCACTGTTTTTTTGGATTCCAAATTTCAAAATGTATAAAGTTTATTTCCATGTTTGTTAAAATGAGTTCAATAATGTTACACACAGTTTATCGACTAATATTGAGGAAATCTAAATTCGGAGATGTCATAATAGGCAGAGCATTGTAAGTGAGTTTTCAGTTCTGCTTCAAAAATGGCTATTGGAGCTTCTCTGATGAAGTCTGGTAGAGAGTTGTATAATCAATAAATTTTTTATTCGTAGAGATTATTCTGTTATTTGGAATAGCGATATGGGATCTCATTCTAGTCAGATACTTGTGTGAATCTCCATTTAGTGTGTACAAATGCATGTGCGTTTTTACATAGATTAGTACGTTGTAAATAATAGCTGACGGAAGTGTCAGTATTTTAAACTTAATTAACCATGGTTTACAGCTTTCAGTTTGAGTTATACCGGCCAGAGCTCTAATGGCTCTTTTTTGGATAATAAATATCGACTGAGTGTAGCAAGATCGGCTCCAGTTATTTATTTTGATCAAGTATGGGGTCACACCATACTTAAAGAAATCATTCCATTACAGAAAACAAATTTTTCTCTCACGACACTAAAATTCATCCTTGTCATGTTCATTAATGCTACCTTTTATTTCAATATCATTTCATTAAATAAATGTTCTAGGGATGCAGAGCGTATTCCATGCCACCATGCGAACATCAAACAACTGGCTCCAAACCGGCATGTCCTAAAAATATGTATCCCACTCCTAGATGCAATGAACAGTGTGACGAAAAATCTTCCCTCTCCTATCAATTTGATAAATCGTATGGACAAAAGCCTTATTATGTTAGTACTGAAGAAAAGCAAATACAATTGGAAATTTTGAAAAATGGTCCTGTTGAAGCTGTATTTGATGTATACACAGATTTTGTTGTTTATAAAAGTGGTACGTATTTATTTGATATCGGACCAGTTCATACCGTAAATATTCCTATTAAGTCTTCAGTTGCTGATTAAGTCCAAAAATTCACCAAAGAAAAATGGCTTGATTTAGAAATCGATCATCTGTAGAGCCGTAGTCTCAGAATTAGATAGTTATAGTCTATATGAAAAACTAACATATAGATTAGACGAAAATGATTACGTGCAATGGAATGACTTTCAGAGAGGAATGTTTCGGATGATTGAATCAAAATATATCAGAAGAATGTGTACGCTCAATAAGAAATTCAGAACCCTCATATCTAAGCATAAACCAAAAGAAACCACTCCGAAAGTCATAAATATTGTTGAAAATCATTCATCACAATCGTTTGATAAGGAAGAGATCAACCTTTTGAACAACGGTTTGAAATTTGGCATCCCGCCTTCCGAGAAAGTTCTTGAGGATATCGTTGCTAGTGTTGAAAGTTCGATTCAATATATGCCCGATTCCTCGAAGGGACTAGTTCGAGAAAAGGTCAGGAATCAAATCTCCAAGAACAAGATAATAGATAAACGGAAGCATTCAATAAACAACAATAAAAACCAAAAGAAACTTATCAGACGATGAGAGAAAAAGACGTTTTTTATTTGAAAGCCGACAAAGGTAACAAAGTAGTAATTCTGGATAAATCGGACTACTATAAAAGGGTCAATACTCTCATTACTAACGGACCGTATGCGAAATTGTCCAGGAACCCGTTACCAAAGATGATTGCCGAAGTAAAAGACGTCCTCAAGAAATGCGACAACATACTTACCCCTCAACTGAAACGGAAGTTACAAGTTTCCAACCCAACGGTGTCAAAACTATATTGCCTGCTAAAAATCCACAAACCGGAAAAATCAATGCGCCCCATCGTGTCAGCTATTGGAGCTCCTACCTACCAAATGGCAAAGTGGCTCACTAAAGAGTTTGAAACCTTGTCTATTGCGGAACCAGGTTTTAGTATAAAAAACTCTTTAGAGTTCATACAACATACATAAAACGTGGTTCTGCAAGAAGGTGAGATTTTGGTTTCTTTTGATGTTAGTTCCTTATGTCCTAGCGTCCCAATTTCACAGACCTTGCAATACCTCAGGGAATTACTAGAGAATAATGATTTCAATAATAACGAAATCGATCAATTCGTTTCTCTTACTAATTTGTGTATGAAACAAAATCGGTTCCAGGTAGGAGGTTGCTTTTATGAACAAAAGAAAGGAACGGTCATGGGAAACCCCTTGTCCCCCTACCTGGCAGACCTGTTCATGAGCAGATTCGAAAAGGAAACCAAAGAAAAGTCGAAGTATTTTCCTAGGATTTGACTGAGGAATGTGGTTGATATTTTCGCGATATTCGATACCAAAAAATCGAATATTGACGAATATTGACATCAATAAAATTCACATATGAGTTAGAAAATAAGGGACAACTACCATTTCTTGACGTTTTGGTAATGAGGAGCCAATATGGAGGATTAGAATACGATATATTCAGAAAAGAAACAAGCACGTACAGGTATATTCCTGACAGTTCACATCACTGTGGACAGCATAAACGTGCTGGGTTTTCGAGAATTCGGAAAAGTCTGGAATTTACGAAATTGAATGTAAGGACTGCGATGCAAAATATTATGGGCAGACAAAAAGATCTATTAAAGTAAGATATAAGAAACACATAGCACACTTAAAATATGGAAGACTTGAAAAATCAGCAGTTGCCCATCATATTTTGCAACAAAACCATTCCATAGACTTCAGTTCATTAAGATTAGTTAGAGTGTAGAAATAAGCAAAGACAGTAATATTATGAATAACGATGACGGACCTATACCAAAGGGCATACTATATAGCTTGTTAAAATAAAATAAAATAATGTTGTTGGGTTTACTGATTACTACATAAGGACACATTGAAAAAATAAATTTGGATAGGAAATATTGTGAAATTAATTTTTATATAGCTGAAAATTGTTTTATATAAACATATATTGTAAAATAATAGATAAGGCAAAATTGTAAAATTAATTTTGGTTGGTATGCCTGGATTGTGTACCTGTATGGGTCACCTTTATAGCATAAATAGGATTAGCTCGCACTAGTCCTTAGTTTTAATCTTCCTCTTTGAAGATGATCACTTGTTGATCGAAACACGTGTCGAGGTGTTGAAAATAACGATTTGGTGTTGTGGAAAAAACTCCAGTAATATTCATGACTACACCAAAGGTTCCAAACAGTGCATCATAAGTAATAAGCTGGAAGTAAATGGTCAGAAGACACGATACATCCAGATTTCTGCTAATAATCAAATTATCTCTAATTGTGAAACTAATAAAATTGAATTACTGGGCATCACATTAGATAATAGACTCAACTGGTCTGCACATATTCCTCTTCCGAAGAGAAAACTCTTGGGTTCTCAATTTTTTTTTTTCGCCAATTGTAGTACATCACTAGTGCAAATATATTGAAAACCTTACATTTTTCACTGTTTCACTCTCATATTAAAGAAAAGAGAATTGGAACTCTCTATGTTTTTTAACACTTTAATTTGTAACTAACAGTAACTAACTAACTAACTAACTGCAGTTTCGTCCTATAAGGACATTTTCAAACTTATACATTATACATTGAACTATCATATTAGTTATGGTGTACAACTTAAGGGAAATTCATGTAATTCAATTCAAATATTTAGAATGAGAAAGAAGACATTGAGAGTGCTGGCTAATATTGGATACAGGGATCACTGTCAAAAATATTTCAAAAAATTCAGAATTATGCTATTGCCAACTTTATTCCTTTGATACGTTTTGATTGAAATCCATAAGAAGAAACCATCCTGGTGAAACAATGTCATATCCACGAACATAACACACGAAACGCTCACCACATTAGAATAAATCGATTTTGTCTTCACTTATCGCAAAAAAATTCCATATATTACTCTCTGCACAATATTTTGCCTCAAGATTTCAAAGAACTCAGTTTGAATACTCACAAGAGAAAATTGAAAAATTATTTGTTGAGGCATTGCTTCTATTTTGTCGATGACTTCAGAACACATTTTTGTGATAACACACAAGTCACTACTTCTTTTTGATTTTTAAAGTTTTCAAATATGTAATTGTTGATATTTGCTTGTGAATTTTAACTAGTAAATTTTAAATGTGCAATTAAGTCAAACATGACTTGCTACAAACATTGTCATTATTATTATTATCATCCGTAGTTTGCGCTGGTCAGGCCCTATCCCCCGAAGCCCCGATACATTCGGGAGGACGCGCCAGCATTATCAACCAATGACCACTCTCCACACCGTGGTGTAAGTGATCATTGGGTCCGAGAATCATGTGCTCTGAGCAAGCGCAGTGAGCCAAGAATGACATCTGCATCTGTTCGGCTAAGATTTCTGCCTTAGTGCGGCAAGCCGGTATGACTTTGAGATTCGAGAGTAGAGAGGGCATCATTCCACCAAGGACTCCAATAATCAGAACAACCATCTTGACAGAGTGGTCTGGATAGAGTCTGCCGAGTTCGAAGAGAAAATCTCGATATTTTATCCGTTTCTCCCCCTCTTTTCTTCTTCTTATTATTATATCTGTTTCCCAGCTGTTGCCTTACAAACCCTCAGAAATAGAAACCTTGTGTGAGCTAGGGTTTAAGAGGTCTTAACTTTCAACGTGCGATTTCTAGCACATGTACATGTCCAGACTCATGGATCCGCTCTGATCCTTAGTATCATTTGGATGTACTGAAATGGTTATCTCGTTGATTCCTTAATTTCACAAAAATGAAGGTCAAATCCCGTTATCGATTGTAGTTGATTGAGCATCTAATCGACCAGACGGTGCTACTAACTTTTTTGTTTCAAATGAAGAGGGGATCTTATGATTACTCGTTTGATAGACATTACAGTTTTCTATACACCAATTTTTCAATTTTTGAAAATCAAATGAGGGGTTCTATATTAGTTTTATGGTTAGCTATTCACAAACAAATGAAAAATATCATAATTTCAGGAAAATGTATTTTAAACTCTCTCCAGTTAATTCCAGTGGGTTCAAATTGTCACCATTCAATTTCTGTGGAAAATACTGCGGTGGTATAACGTTGATTTTAGTTTCCACCAATATTCTGAAAAATCTAAGGGTGTTATGTCAGGTAATGCAGCGGGCCATTCTGAGGGACCACGTTTACCTGTCCACGGGTTTGAATAATTGCTGAAACCTAGTATTAGTTGAGAACTCATTCCGATAGCTTTGTAAGTATGGTTAGTGTGATCTTCCTGTTGAAGATGATCACTTGATGATCGAGAAACGTGTCGAGCTGTTGAAATAATGATTTGGTGTTGGGAAAAAACTCCAGTAATATTAATAATGAGATGTCTAGATTTATGGGTGGTATGAAAATTCTGAACATCAGTGTCGTAGATGCGAGATTTTGATAAATCTAGGTTATGTTATTACCAATGCTTTTTTTCATTTTTAGGTGTCTACCATCAAGTTGCTGGTGAAATAGTTGGCGGACACGCTGTGAGAGTCTTAGGATGGGGAGTTGAAAACGGAACAGCGTACTGGTTGGCTGCAAACTCTTGGAATGAAGACTGGGGTGACAAGGGTTTATTCAAGATAATCAGGGGGAGAGATGAATGTGATTTCGAAGGTGAAATGGTAGCTGGATTGCCAAAGTTAAGAATTGCAGATGACTGATTTGTTCAGATAAACCATACCAAATATATCATTTTCAGAAAGGCGATTTTGTTGAGAAATCATTTGAACTATTAGAATATACAGAGTGGTCCACTGGTGCAAGAAAGTCCAATAGCGCCGTCGTGAGAGTGATAACATTGGTCAAGACAACATTATAAAATTGTTTATACAAGGTGTATAGAAGTATATATTACAAAAAAGTATACTAGCAAGAATTCAGTAGTTTTCAAGCCGACGTTAATTTTTTATCATGATTTGATTCAACATAGAATGCTGCATAGAGAATGCTGTATTTTGTTTTGTTCAGAATTCTGGTGTTACTAAACTATGGTTAACAGAAAAACATATTTTTTTTCAAACAAGCAAGTTTATGCTTGAGAAAGCTATTGCATAGCGAAACACGTGTCGCGTGTGAAAATCATACAATAAACTGTATTGATTAGAGTTCCCCTATTTTTGATTTATCTTCTAGATAGGCCAAGAAGACGGTTTCGCTGAAATTGAAGCTCCTTTTGCATCCTCTTCAATATTGTCAGGAACTCACAATTCCTCACTATTATTGTTCTTCATTATGCAAGACATTAAACACTAGTAAAGACTTTGAACGTGACTTTGAGTAAAACGCGTGAGCTGTAAACTGTTTGTTGGTAACTAGGTGTTTCGGCGTCACCTGACGCGGCCATTTAACACCAAATGCGCTAACATGAAAATAGTTAACTGACAAGAGATATCAAAATGTGTTTGTATAGAAAGTAATGAATTGATCTATTTTATTATGAAAACAGGACAGTTGTATAAAAAACTTTTTCTACACCCGTACTCTAACAATACACTTTTATATGACCATAATCCGTTTCATAATGATATCCATTATGATACCTATTTTTCATAACGATACAGATTATCAACCAATAGAAACCCATAATTTTTCAATCAAGAATCCTGTTCCTTTGTTTGTCCTAGATTCTAACCTAAGTAACTTTATTTGTCAAAATCAGTTTTCATATTACCTACCTATATTATCAAAATGTCTGAAAACAGCGATATAGAAGGAATACCATCGACTCCAATATTTTTAAAAGATCAGATTAATTACAGTTGTTATATTCAATATAAATATAATTAGAATCTTTATAGTTTTCATATATCCATGATAATACCATTAAGTTTGTGTTTTTTTTTAAATATGAGTTAATTAGTGTAAATGTGTTCAATACAAATATAATATTTATAGTTTTTCATTATTTATCGGGTTTAGAAAAAATAGCGTATGCAACTCTCATGTAATGGTTATTAATACACTCGCATATACCATACGAAACTCGCCTTCGGCTCGTTTCGTATCCCGGTTAATGCTCGTGTCTTAATAACCATCATTACATGATCGTTGCATAATATACTATTGTATCATATATGTGTTAAAACCCACCTGCGAGGCAGGTGGGTTCTGTTGTAATCCGGTGTATAGTATCTATGTTGTGGAATTGGCCGCGGTGGTAGTGCGCCCGACTCACGATCGGAAGGCCGTGGGTTCGATTCCCGCCTCGACCAGATATTTTTCACGAGATAATTTATCTGGTTGGAGCTGGGATGATTCTGCAACCGTGTTAGGAATCACACGTTGAAAGGTAAGACCTCGTTAGTCCTTAGCTCGCACAAGTTTCTCTCAACTTCTGAGAGTTGGGAAAAACAGATTTCAAACAGATTTTTTTATAAAGTGTTCATTGTATTGATTTGAAAGTGTCCTTATAGGACGAAACTGCAGTAAGGATAGTTACATTTCTCCATTTTTCATTAATTTTATTCAGTAGGTTTATCATTGAGATTGCGTGATCAATTAAACAAAATATATTGTTCGAAATGAAAAGACTTTAAAAAATCCCGACTCTGTACGATTGTACAGAGTGAAATCTAGTTGACTCGTTCAGCCAAGTCAACAGATGAACCACACTGTCGCAATTTAAATGTTGGATAACCATTTTGAATGCATTTGGGATTGCTCATTTCGAGGAAAACAATATAAAATATTATTCACGAAAGTTAGAATATTTGGAAAAATGCAATTTTCATCAGTAACCGTCTTTAGAATTGTAAAGGTCTAATTTCACTTGCAGTTATTTTCAAACTTTTTTGATAGATGTCGAATGATTTCTGATTCTCTGATTGACTCGCCATATTCGATGTAGTACAGTGTTCTCTGACATGAGTCTGATTTTTTTTGAGGACAAAACACAAGCGCTACAGGTGAACAATGTAGACGCGGTGCCTGTGCGAAAGTAGCGATTTACATTGGATTTGAAACAATGGAGATTATATCCATTTAGAAAAACTTTCTCAGGAAGTTTATTCAACATAAACACAGTGAAGTTCGAAGTGTACTGAGTTGAACCTCAAATCGATGAGCAGTCTCAGTCCGTCGCGTATTTCTGTTGCAAGTGATGTTCGCGTCTCCAATCACGCGGATGACTCTTTTCTGGATAGAATCCAGCAGCTTCAGTGCATACTTAGGGGCGAAGCTTCATACATGAGAACAATACTCCAAAGAAGGTCTGATCTCAACTTCATAAACAATCAAAAGCTGCTGAGTTGTTTCGCCATTATACCTTGAATTCACGCAATGACTTATCGAGATAAATAAAGAGCATGCTCGTTCTATACCCGTAAAAATCCTTCTTTACATTTTTTTTATGGTGGAAGATGAAAATCTTCAGAAGATTCTCTCCAATTCCCTGAACACAAAAATGAATTCGAAGTATTCATCTCTTTACATTAAATATACTTACAATGTTATGCTTTTTTATAAGATGGATACTTGGATACCTTTTTTAGGTACCTGCGTTTTAAGTGTCCTAAATTAACTTAACAATATTGCCTTATCTACTAGTCATAATTGATTTTACAATGTGTCCTTATGTAATAGTCAGGTAAATCAAAATATTATTTTAACAAGCTATATAGGTAGGTATATCAGGTATTGGTCCACCATCGTTATTCTTGGCATTGCCCTTGATAAAAGACTCACCTGGAACGCTCACTTGGAAAAAGTTTTACACAAAGCCAGACTGTTTCTATGGACATGTCGAAGGATTTGTGGTAAAACTTGGGGTTTAGGTTCCAAACAAATCCATTGAATTCATGTGATGATTGTCAGACCAATGATCACTTATGGTGCAATTGCCTGGTGGCCGAAGGCTTTACAGAAAACGGCCCAAGCGAAGCTCTCTGGCTTACAAAGACAGGCTTGTCTGGGTTTCAGTGGTGCCATCAGTACCACACCGTCAGCGACCATGGAGATCCTTCTAGATCTACCTCCTCTCCACATTTTTCTGGAAAGAGAGGCTAGATGGACTGCATACAGACTTGTGCACATTGCCAATTGCACAAATCAATTCAATGCGGAGTGCAACAGACTGTTGGTTGACATTGGAAGTCACTGAATTCTGGAAATGACCTCTGACTTTATGCCTCCAACTGTCAACTGCGAACTGCCTTATGAAGTACTATTCCCGAGTAGAGAGGACTGGATCCTGCGGGAGAAGGAAATATTAAGAGCAGATAGTTGTTGGTTCACATATGGATCAAAAGCACCTTCTGGTTCTGGTGCAGGTGTTTACAGTCACAGACCCAGGACAGAGTTATCTACCTGCCTAGGAACTTATGCGACTGTATTTCAAGCGAAAATTTACGCCATTGAATTGTGTGCGGAGAGATTGGATAAATCCAACCTCACTCACAAGTCAATTAAAATATTCTCGGATAGTCAAGCGGCGTTGGAAGCTCTTGGCTCCTACCGAGCAACGTCTAAATTGGTAGCAAACTGCCAAAAAAGACTCTCCTCGATAGAAAGACTAAACAGATTGTCTCTGCTCTGGATTCCTGGCCATACTGGCCTGGAAGGCAATGAAGCTGCTGACTCTCTTGCAAAGGAGAGTGCTGCAAGCGGATTCATTAGACCAGAACCTGTCATTGGCATCGCTTTGGGCTTTGCCAAACAAACACTGAACACTTGGATGACAAAAAGAGTTATGGACTTCTGGCAGAATCTTCCAGGATTGGCTCCGCTCCGAGACGTTTATTCACCCTTCGAAGCTTGATACCAACTAGTTGTTGGACTACAGTAGAGATGAACTACGATGTGTAACAGGCCTTCTTACAGGTCACTGTCATTTGAATCATCATATGCAGAGACTTGGACTGTCGGAAGACAGTGTGTGTCGCCTCTGTCTGGAAAATGATGAAACTGCAGAGCATATACTTTGTGCCTACCCCGCTGGAGACCGAATCAGGTTCTTTGAGTTCGGCAGATCCGTACTCTCACCATCTGAACTGAAAGACCACTCACCATACAAACTAATCGGCTTTGTTGAGAAGCTGGGTTTATTTGGCCAAGTGTGTATAGGTGTGGGCCACAATAAACCCTCATGGGTTGCGGTGTAAGGTCTAATAGACCCACTTACTTTAGACCTACCTACCTACCATCGTTATTCATGATATTATTATGTTTATTTATTTTTACACTCTCATAGGCATCTAGACGCCTGTTGTTGTTAACTTATCTAACTGATCTTAATGAACTAAAGTCTATGGAATGGTTTTATTGCAAACTATGAGGAGCCACTGCTGATTTTTCTGGTTTTCCATATTTCAGGTGTGCTAAGTATTCCTTATAGGTAATTCGTTTTAATAGATCTTTTTGTCTGCCCATAATATTTTTTGCCTCGCAGTCCTCAGTTTTAATTTCGTACATTAATTTACGAAACACGTGTCAGATAAAACTCCAGTAGCATTCATTGAGTGAGATATCCCAAAAAATGCAATGAATTTTTGTCACCTGCTGAAATTTACGATATCACTTATAGACATCCTGTGACAAAAAATATCATCAATTTAGTTTTGATGTGGTCGCTTCTACTTTGAATGTCTCAGAAACAAAACTAAGTCAAGTATCGAAATCTTTGTATTTCAAATACAAAGAAAAACATCATTCACGTACTCAATGAATGTTTGTTAATATCAATTGAATCAGGTACATCTGAACTATATTATAATTTATAGATACTTTTCAAGTGCTTGAATCAGTATATAAATGAATTGACACAAATACATTTTTATTGGTTTACACTCTAGTGATTTAACTTGAAAGAAAGGTGAGTTTCAAATTTATTGTGCTGCCCACTCCACTAACATATATTATACATTTTTTTATTTCATATCTGCCAATGTACAATGAAAGAGAATGAATTTCAAAAAATTGATGGATGTAGCCGTTATTACGTGGTAGGAAATCATTATGAAGAAAAGAGAAATGAAACTTTCTGTTTTTATCACTTATATTTGTAACTAACGTTATTGCAGTTTCGTCCTGTACGGACATTTTCAAACTAATACAATAAGTTATTGTATAAGTTATTATTGAATGATTTATATTGAATGATATATGTACAACCAACCAATCAACCAACCAACCAACCAACCAACCAACCAACCAACCAATCAACCAACCAACCAACTAACCAACCAAACAACCAACCAACATGTGAAATGTTTTCTTTCCTTATATGAGGAATTGGGCAAACTTTGGATATGTGGTTGATTACCTCGTTCACAGGTAGATGGAGCGATGACCAACCTATTGTCCGCTTCAGCCTACTCTGGAGAAATTCGATTTTCAATTATCGGAAATCATCAACTTTATGTTGATGGTAGACACTACCTTGCACTGACGAGGGGCCAAACATCCCGAAACTGGTTAGCAAGTGTGTTCTAATAATTGAAAATCTATTGCGGCAGTTGAATCGCCAACAGAATATGCGAGAATAATTTCAGTGAAGAATCCTGCGCTGACACCTGCCGGATATAATCCAACGCCCTTCGTGGTATTAGCCAGGGAAGTAGTTGTTTTCTGATTGGTGGCAGTCCATTAACCTACAGTGTAGGTAATTTGAGAGTGGTCTGAATGAATTGTTCCTTTAGATGATTTGAATTGAATTCAATTGATCAGAAGGAAACGTTGAATTTAAAAAAAATATTTTCATTTCGTAACCATTATTTGAATCATCTTTGATATGAAAGATGTTACTGATTCAATGCGGTGGAATGTTTGTCAACAAAGTTTTGATTTTTTTTATCTATAGGGGTATTCAAGATGAGGATAGCCTTCTGTTTTATTGTCTTCGCTATTTCTGGGGCTCTCTCATATGGAATAGACTCAAATCCCTTCAGCGATGAGTTCATAGATTACATCAACAGCCAACAAACTACTTGGACTGCGGGTAGAAATTTCGATAAAAATACTCCGAAGTCTCACATTCGTAATTTACTTGGAGCTATCAAATCACCGGTACCCAGATCTGCCAGGAATGTTGTTTTTCACAGCGAAGATACTCCAATTCCTGAATCCTTCGACTCTCGTGAAAACTGGCCCGACTGTAATATTATCAGAGTAATCAAGGATCAGTCCTCATGTGGTTCATGCTGGGTAAGATCTTATATTTTTGGAAACGGGATTCAATAGGAAAAAACATTTCTTTGGGATTTTAAAAATCGTACTATTCCATTTTTCACACCATATACTAGTATATTGCATCATTTTGTAATTATATATTTCTCATTTACACGAATAGGTTTTTCTGTATACCTACTACAGAGAGGGCCATCGAATACTTGACATGGAAGTTTTGGGTACTAATCTTGTAAATCCGAAAAGAACAGTTTTAGGAATCACACGTTGAAAGGTAAGACCTCGTAAGTCCTTAGCTCGCACAAGTTTCTCAACTTCTGAGAGTTGTCGGTCGTATGGGGGGCGACAGTTGATTAACGGAAAAAAAGATTTTAAACAGATTTCCAAACAGATTTTTTATAGCGTTGCCACTTCAACCCCGGAGCAGAGGGGTGAACAACCCTTGGAATTTCAATAGGTAACAGGGGGCGAGTCATACACCGTTTGAAAGATCTTGGAATTCTCTAAACAATCGTGTATATTTTTCAAATTTGGACGTATTTAAAAGAGTTCTTTTCGATAAATAGCTTTTTCAATATTGTTAATAAAAACAAATAATTGTACGCCACTGCTCAGTTGGAATGTATTTGGAACTCTTTCATTTGTTTCTTATGCTACTTTTTCGTTAATTTTTTAGTTCTTTTTTGATGAGAGGACTATTACAAGACTACACAAGATCAAATTAACGCAAGAACTGAATGAAGATGATTTCGATCGACGCTTGCAATTTTGCGAGTTGGTTAGTGAACGAGCGGTGGATAATCCACATTTTGTTTTCAACATTTGCTTCAGTGATGAAAGTTCTTTTTTTCAAATGGCACGGTTAATCGTCATAATTATCGCTATTGGGTTGATTCAAATCCTCACATTTTTCATGAAGTGCATACTCAACGTCCACAAAAATTAAATGTATGGGCTGGAATTTTTGGTGACCGTATTGTTGGACCATTGTTTTTAGAAGGCAATTCAACCGGACAAATGTATCTGGAGCTTCTGAAAGCTCCTCTTAATCCCCTTCTCACTGATATTATTGAAGTGACCACAATTATCGGGAGGATCTGTTAATATTTCAACAAGATGGGGCTCCTTCGCACTATGATCTGCAGTATTTTGATTAGACTTTTTCGGATCACTGGATTGTGAGGCGGAGCACTATCGAATGGCCACCACGATCACCAGACGTTTCGCAGTTAGATTTCTTTTTGTGGGGTTCTTTGAAAGGCAGAATTTACTGTACTTCTCCTGCATCACTCGAAGATTTACGGCAACGAATCACAAATGAATGCCCCACAATGTTCGAGAACGTTTCCAGCAGAATCTCTATTATTGCATGGAAGCTGGAGGTGCCCATTTTGAGCATATGCTTACATGAGAATAAAGTGAGTAACTTCAACTCTAAACTTGATGTGGTTCGTCCAAATTTGAAACAATGTACACCGTTGTTTAGAGAATTCCAAGATCTTTCGAACGATGTGCGACTCGCCCCCAGTTCCCTATTAAAATTCCAAGGGTTGTTCACCCCTCTGCTTCGGAGTTGAAGTGACGACGCTGTAAATGGGGAAAAACTGTCCCCCTCCCAATGAAAATCGATCTGTCTGAGCGTTTTTCAGGATATGCAAGATTAGTAACCAAAACCTCCATGTCAAATTTTCGATGGTCCACCCTGTATAAGAATCCTTTGCCTTCTCATTCATAGATTTTAAATTATCTTCAGTACAATAAGTGCTAATTCTAAAATACGGAGAGTTATTGAAATAAGATATTTTGAAGACACTAGTTGTTGTTTTTTTGGAAATGAGGAGATTACTTTAATTAATGAATTGGATATTTAATTACCACATTACTACAGTGATCTTATGTACTCGTATAAGATGAATAATAACTAGGACTGAATGAAATGCTATCGCTTTATGCCCCTTATGCTTCATGTGCAAAAATGTTACTAATTTATTTTTTTCTCATGGATCTTGAATAAAAAATCTGACATAGAGTGGCAAAGTTACTAGTTCCAAATTCAAACATCAATAACTCCACAACCGGTTATCGAAATTAGAGAAATTTAGGGTCATTGTTTAGAGAATTAAAATACTTTTTTAAATTATCACAAGATAACTCAATTTACGTACACAAAAGAAGTAAATAATGATACAGTCTTTTTTCTATTGAAGATTATAACAATATTATGGTCATCGTAAAAGTTTATGAGAAAAATGGAACGTTTAATAGTTTTTCAGGTTTATGGAAATAAAAACTATTTTTTGAATCTAACACGCTTTGATATCACCATGGACTCACAGGCATGATGCAATTTTCCATCTAAATCATAGGTTTTTTTTGTATTGAACCCTGGAAATAAATTCTACTCAATAAATTTGTTTAATAAGAGTGGAAATCATTAATCTGATTCGAATACCAACAATAGAAATCTTTTTCATGAAAATACGACTTTGTGAAATATAAGGGAACTTCAAAACTAAGTTGCAGATGGAAAAAAAAACATTTTCATTCCTGGAATATTGGAAGGAATGATTGATTTCCAATAAAAAGTTTTCTTATTGGAAGATTCGGAAGATTTTCACAGTTTTTAGTATCAAGATGGAGTAGTAGAAATAACTTTCTTCCCCAAAAATTAATCATTCCTAAAAATATAACCCTTTCAATTCAAGTCTAACTTGTCCACTCACAAAATGGTTCAGAAAAATAATTTATTTTGCAGGCTGTTGCAGCAACTTCCGCAATGAGTGACAGGATTTGCATTCATTCTAATGGGAAAAAACAAATATCTGTTTCAGACGAAGACTTGATATCATGTTGTTCAGAATGCGGGTATGGGTGTCAAGGAGGATTTACTATGGAAGCGTGGAATTATTGGCGGGAAAGAGGTCTTGTTTCAGGGGGACCTTATAATTCGACGACGGTAATAATGATAGTAACATTTTATTTATCGTCCATTTTTATATAGATCAAATCTACAACAATTGAGCTCTTCCATGAAATTGAAATTTATAGCTCACACTGAAACACTACGAGTAATCAAATACTATATTGTTACATTTCCTCTGTGGGTTTGCCGAAAATTGACTAACCTGTTCAATTAAACTCAACTTTATTACGCTGCTATACTAACAATACAACCAAACACTGTCCACTAGACTGATATGAGAATAGGTAGTGTTTATACAGTGTGTAAATGCCAAATGAAATAAATTCATTATTTTGGTTACTGTAGATATTAAAAAAAATCCCGAAACACATCAAATGTGAATTATAATTTAAATTTGACGTGCCTTCAACCCCCGTCGAATGACAGGTATAACCCCAAATTTTTTGAAAGGGAAGTATAGGCTTGTGATATATCGTTTGAAAGGACTCTTCATACTCCATTCAAAAATGTTATCGCTTTTAAGTTCATTGCAACAATTAAGATTGAATTAATTAAATTCATGTGGTTACCGAAATTCGATAAAATACACTAAAAACTTATTGCAATATACTCAAAACTTATTTCATGATGGGGTATTGATAATAAGAAAGTAAGCAAAAACATTAGCAATTTTCTGTTTAGATGGCATCTTTCAAAAAATTCAACTGTAAAGTTCGTTAACTTCAAGTCTGACAAATGGTTCAATTACCGAAAATGCATAAAATAACAGTTTCATAAATGAATGATTACGGAGATAAAACCTGAATACAACAGGAAATAGCTCGCCTATTTCATGAGAAATTTCCTAATTTACTGCCCATATCTCATGGAACAATAAGCAAAATAGAGAAGCAGTTTTGCGAGCTTGGTTATGTGGGACAGATAAAAAATGTAGCTTCCAATGCAATGAGTGACCAACTCAAATTAGATGTGATACTTGAGTTTGAGGAAAACCCACATACATTGAGTAGACAGGCATCCACTACATTCAATGTTAGCCATAAATCAATAGTAAACATATTAAGAGAAAATAATACCTACTCAGAACAAACGCAATATCTTCAAAAGGTTAACGTTTGGGCAGGGATTGTAGGAAACCATATCATTGGTCCCTTTTTCATTGAGGGCAACTAGAAAAGCGATAATTATTTGGCACCACTTCAAAATTATGTCATTCCAAGTTTAGCAAATTTATATCCTGATCCAGGAAACCCTAAAGTTCCAGTGAATACGATTTGGTTTCAGCAGGATGGAGCACCACCACATTACCAAGTTAATGTCCGGCAATACCTCGACAGAACATTTCCCAATCGGTGGATAGCGAAGAGAGGATCGATTGAATATCCAGCGCGATCACCTGATCTTTCATCAGTAGATTTCTTTTTATGGGGATATGTAAAGAGCAACGTGTCCAAAATTGAACCTTCAAATTTGAATGACCTGAAAAAACGAATAACGCTTGTGATGAGGTCGGTCACGCCTGATATGTTAAATAATGTTAGAAGACTGTTTTATTTGAGATTAGATATTGCCAAGACGTTCGCGATGCACATTTTGAACATCTCAATTGTTGCAATAAACTTGAAAGCGATAACATTTTTGAATAGAGAATGAAGAGACCTTTCAAACAATATATCACAAATCTATACTTTCCATTTTAAAAATTGGAGGTTGTATCTGTCATTCAAAGGGGGTTGAAGGTAGGGGTGGAATTTTTACGTTGAGGAATGTCAGCAAATTATAATTCACATTCAACGTGTTTCGGGATTTTTAAAAATATGTATTGTAACTGAAATAATGAATTTATTCCATTTGGCTCTTACACACTGTATATGCCAATAGAAGTCTTAGGAAGCCGGAGGAATCATTCTTGAAGCGACGAGACATCTGCATCAATCACCAAGCGCCCGTAAACTTGAGCGTGATTTTAGCCACGTCACAATTGATTTACAACGACCAGCGGCGGCCGGCGTTATTATTTTTTTAGGCAATGATTCACAACACTACCCATTCGCACCTTGAAAAGTCTAGTAGACAGTGCGGTGCGACGTGTTAAAATATGTTTAAAACATATATTTTTCCATTAACCAGCTGTCGCACCCTTACGAACGACAACCATCAGAAGTCGAAACTTGTGTGAGCTGAAAACTAACGTGGTCTTACATTTCAACGAGTGATTCCTAATATAGAAGGCGATAGACATTTGAATACTGTTTTGGTTTGAATATCGTTTGGTTGTCTTGTCGGTGTGGTACATTATCAGAATTATATGAGGAAGCTGTGTCGTATCTTGAAACTTATTTTCACATAGGTATTCATTCAAATCACGAACTTTTCGGAAAGAGCACAGACTTATTCACTATCATTGACTTCATTGTTATTCAATTAATGTTGGGCATAATAGCCGTTCGAACATTTCGAATTCAGAACAGAGGAAAAAAAGTAACAATCAAAAAACAAAATCAAAAAATACTTTTTACGATTCCAGTTAATGTAGGGAGCATTTTTGAAAACATTAACTGATGGAGCACACACCATATACTCAGGCTGGCCGATCTGTTGAACGAAAAGACAATTGCACAGATAATATTGGTGATACAGTTTTAGGAATCTTGGTCTCACTATTTCATATGAATGTCCCCTCAATCTTCCATTATTACTACGCACAAAAAGTCCACATTCACTTAGTAGTGTCCAAGGAGGATTTGGAATGTATCAATGAGATCAATGAGAAGTTAATTTAGGTAATTGGGTTTGCTCAAGAGCATATATGTCTTTGGCAAAGTGAGGATTCCAAACTGGCACAGCATACTCGAGGATTGGTCTAATGCATACTTTATAAATTATGGCTCATAATAACATCGAGATCATTTTGGTGCTTTACGGGTTTCACTGAAACGCCCTTAATAAAATATTGATCTTCTGGGTTATTAGGATCAATGTGGAGAAAACTGCACTTTTATCCACTTAGATACAGGAACCACTTTTGACACCACTCTTTCAGTTGCTGAAGGTCATTATATTTCTATCCAGGTTCGGGTTTGCATTCAACTTTGTATTATCGGCAAAGAGAAAGACGTTGGTTAGAAATTCGGGATCGCTAAGAAATATATTGAGGAACAATGGGCAAATTACTGACCTCTGGTAAATACCACTTACTGCTGGGCATGGTTCCGAAAGTTAGTCATCAATTCGAAAATTGTGTTATTGTTATCATGGATAGTGTTATTAATGTTCATCAAGTAACAGAAACTAGTATTTTCTCTCAAGATACAAAATTCATTCTTGTCATGTTCATTCATTCTATTTTTATTTCAATATCATTTCATTCAATGTTCTAGGGATGCAGAGCTTATTCTTTAGCACCATGCGAACATCATACAACCGGTTCCAAACCGGCATGTCCTAAAGATATTTCTCCCACTCCTAGATGCAATGAACAGTGTGACAAACAATCTTCCTTCTCCTATCAATCTGACAAATCATATGGACAAAATTCTTATTATGTTGGTGTGTTAGATGAGCAGATACAATTGGAAATATTGAAAAATGGTCCCGTTGAAGCTGCATTTATTGTATACACAGATTTTTTAACTTATAAGAGTGGTACGTATTCATTTGATCAGACCAGATCATACATCTGTTATCCAGCTGTCGCCCTACAAACGACAAGCCATTCTAAGGGACCACGTTTACCTATCCACTGGTTAGAATCATTGTCATCTAGCCACTTTAAAATCAGATTGTCATGATGCTGAAACCTAATATTAGTTGAAAACTCATTCGGATTTGACAATTTTTGCTACCGGTAGACAGGGGAACGTGATTCTACTACATCATCTGATATTACCTATCTAGATCTTTTTGAGGCAATATGCGACACGAATTGTTTAATAGTCAACTTTTCAGGCGTGAAATAATGAACAGTTCAAAGCAATTGACAGCACAGACATATTTGAGTATATTATTTTTGTAATGTATTTTTGATTTATGCATATTCATGCAAGTTGATACGCGATAAGTCCACATTGAAGTTATGAACTGGCCAGCTTGAATCTTAGTTTTGAATTCCATTGATGAGACACTATCGAAAATGCAGGAAGACATTTTTCAGATCCACAACACCTGCAACAGATATAATGTACAACGATATGAGTAGAAAAATATTCATATATCTGTTATCAAGAACTCAAAAGCTTAACTTGCTGAATTCGGGGTGTTCTCTGTATCTGTAGAGTAGGGAGTTGTCCTTTCCAGGAAGGTGAACAGGTCACTGGGAAACATCTCCTTTATATCGGCAGGTGTAGGCCAAGACTCGCCGAACACACACTCTCTCATTGACGATAACTCCGGGCACTCGCACAGGACATGCCTGACAGTCTCATCTTCCTGTTCACACATCTTGCATAGAGGTGTGTCCACTAGCCCCATATTATGGATGTGTTTCTTAGTTGACAGTGGCCAGTCAGAAATCCTACTGTTAAGCGTATACTTTTCCTGGTCATTGCCAGATATTTCTTCGGCGCCAACTTCCCAGGGTCGCCCAAGGTGATCCTGACAAGATTGCATCCTTTGATTTCATCTCATCTCTCTATGGGCTGAGCATGGGTGTAACATTTGACTAGTTCCCCAAGTCATCAGGACTGGGTCCTAAAATTCTTAGTCCAACCGCTTCCTTGGCTAAAGAGTCGGCAATGCGATTACCTTTACTCCTGTCGTGCCCTTTAACCCACCTCAGGATAATGTTATTATCTACCGATGCTTTGGCTAAATTTTGGTGACACTCTAGTACTAGCCCTGAGGTTATACGTTGTCTGTTCAAGGTTAATAGGGCTTGTCTGCTGTTAGTGCAGATTGTTATGTTTTTGTCAGAAATTCATTTCTTGGTTATTTTTTTGTGGCGATTGAGACACCAGCCAGTTCTGTTTGGACCACGCTGGTATTTCTTCCCATTCCCCACTTAATCCTTAGGCTTAGTGATCTGGAGAACACTGAGACTTCTTTGGTTTTTGAGCCGTCTGTGTATATGTGTATTGCATTTGTAGCACTTGTTTCCTGCAGCAGATGTTGCGCAGTAAGCGCTTCCCGCCATAGGCCCAGCCTCAATTGAACCATTCCTACTTCGAGGTCTACACCAGCCGTGCGCAATCGTACCATGGCCATTAACGCAACCTCCTTAACGTACAGGTCCTTTAGGGTCAGACCCGTAATTAATTCCATTGCCGCGATTGGTGTTGTTCTCATGGTCCTTGTGATGTTTAAACAAGCCAGTCGTTGTAATTTATATAATTTTTGGATGGCCATTGCTTGTAGAACTTTCGGTCCTCATGCAATGCCTTCATACGTTAACAGGTCTTATTATTGTAGTGTAGATCCAGGTGACCACAAAGGGTGGAAGACCCCATGCGCGTCCCACTGTCCTCCGACATTGCTCATAAGCCACGTATGCTCTTTTTGCTCTACTCTGTAGATGAGGGTTCCATGTTAGATTCCTGTCGAGGATAGTACCAAGATATTTCACCTCTTCGGAGAAGTTCAGTTTGCTTTTGAAGATCTCGAGAGGTTTCAAGCCCGTTAAACTTCTTTTCCTGGTGGAAAGGTCCATCTCAGTCTTATTGGGATTGATCGACAGTGAGTGTTCCTCACACTATGTTTGTAATAATTTGAGCATATCCTGTTTACAAATTGGCCGGTCTGCAATATAACTATGTCATCTGCGTATGCAATTGTGTAGAATCCATTTTTGTTAAGGTGATTAATCAGGGTATCCAGAACTCTGTTCCAGAGAAGGGGTGATGAGACCCTTCCCTGTGGACATGCCTTCATGACCAGTCCTTTCACTGTGATGTCTTCTACATTAATACTTATTGCTCTACTAGAGAGCATCTTGAGTATACATTCTCCTACTACCAGGGGTACATTCCTGGAGTGTAGTTGTTGGGTAATTGTTGGAAAGGTTGTTTTATTAAACGCTCCCTCGATATCTATGAATATACCCAGGGTGGATTCTTTGTTGTCCAATGATCTGTCGATTCTGCCAACCATATGGTGAAGGGCCGAATCAGTAGACCTTCCCGGAGTATATGCATGCTGATTTGAATGAAGTGGGTTGTGACCTAGTACTTCATCTCTTATGCACCGCTCACATAGCCTCTCCATGGTTTTTAAGAAAAACGATGTGAGACTGATTGGTCGGAAAGCTTTTGGTAGGGTGTAGTCCATCCTACCTGGTTTGGGTGTAAATACTTATTTTTCATTAGGGGTGTTATTTCGAGCTGAAGATAAAAACATAGTCTACTAGACGTTATCTCAATAACACAATTTCTTTTTTGATTTTTTCAGTAGCTGAAACACGTTTGTTTCATACTGATCATTTCATATTTCATTCAAATGAAATAAACCCGCAATGAAGCAAATTGAGTAACACTATTTTTTTGTGGTTGCTATGAAAAAATGAGACGCGATATTCATAATGAGATGTCTAGATTCATAGGTGGTATGAACATTTTGAACATCAGTGTCGTAATGCTCGGTTTTGATGAATATAGGTAATATTATCACTCATCACCAATGCTTATTTTTATTTGTAGGTGTCTACCAACATGTTGCTGGTGAAGTTGCTGGCGGACATGCTGTAAGAGTCTTAGGATGGGGAGTTGAAAACGGTACACCGTACTGGCTGGTTGCAAACTCCTGGAATGAAGACTGGGGTGACAAGGGTTTATTCAAAATAATCAGAGGGAGAAATGAATGTGAGATCGAAGATGAAATAGTAGCTGGATTGCNTTATATTTCGAGCGAAGACTTTCCCTTTCTATTTGAAAAATAGAATTGATAGCTCCCTCTCTGCGGAGAGTGATACTTCTTCACAGTAAAGTACCAAAAATGATTCTTTTTCATACAAATTTTGTCCGACTACGATGTCTAGGCCTTCTCAAAACTTAAGAGAGGGGGAAAGGGTATATCAAAAATATACCGCCTAATATCTGTAAAAAGGCTCCACTTTCAAGCTACTAAGTATGCATACATTTTCAAGTACATATTACATTTTCTTTTCTAACTAATTAGTTTGGTGGATCTGGGACCTAAGGCATTTCTGAGGATTGGTTAATTGACTTACTTCTTTTAAGGCCAACCTTGAATGGTCTTTCAATGGCATGAATTGAATGAATTGAAAATTACAATTCGAAATTCTATTTTGATGAGTATTATTTGAAAGAGCAAAAAAGCCATAACAACGAAAATGCATTATCCAAAATGTATATTTCAGCTGCATCTAAATCACCGTCATCTTTGGGTACCAGAAAGGATAAAATCCAAGGGCTTCGCCAGCTTATGACTGAGGGGGGGCAATGGGGCAATATTATGGGGGAAAAAATTTGAACGCTTGGTACAGTCGAAAGGATGAAGCGTTACATTTTGGAAGTCTTTGCCGCGATGACGATTGTAATAAGAACGGTTCTGATATCAATGTACAAAACTTCACAAGCCCTCGACAGCACAATAACCAAATCAAACTTTTGAACACAGTAATAATTATTTATTTTAACAAAAATAATATTTGATCAAAACATAATCTGCGGATATTTTTTGCAAAACTTTCAACCACTTATCATTTCGATAAGATGATGAATGAAGACACACTCAGAAACTTCACAACTCAACACTGAGATGATGACATTTTATATTATTCAATAAATATAAATCAATATTGAGTAACACAGGCAAACCGGTAGTCTTATGATCGCTTTCCAATTCGCTTGTTTACCTTGTTTCGTTGATCGCTTCCAATTAAAAAGTGACTCGCTCACAGCGGCTTACGTCTTTATATACCCAAACGAACATCATACTAGAATGTGCGGTAACATTCTACCTGGTCTGGAAACTGCTACCAAATTTAGAAAGTTCATTGAACAAGCGCCATCCAGCATCGAGTAGCAATACTAGGTTTAACAAGAATTGTAGTCGATTTATTCAACTGTAGGCTGTAGGTGAACACTTACACTTACAGATGGCTTTGTCTACAAAACCAATTAAAATTGTATGTTTTGTGAAAATCTCACAATAAAGTGTTTTTGGAATACGTTAGTTATGGATTTTCATCAAGTATCGGCCGATTCCATCATATAATTGTATGTTCGTAACAATAACTTCTATTTTGGGTATGCCGCATACAAATTATACAAAACTAACGTGAATATGCAATGCACACAACATACACACCATACCTATCTCCTACCTAAATATTTTCACACTGTTTAATCTGATATAGTTTGATGTTATTCAGAATATTTCAATATTTTCTTCTACAATATATATTAAACCTTGTGAATTTATTTACGTTTTGTCATGGGATGCGAAATTTATCAATAGGTAAGGAAGTCAATTGCTCGCACTTTGGTTGCTTTGCGACTAGCTACATTTCTCTTGGAGGGGGGGCAACTTCCCCCCCCCCCTGCCCCTCGTTGGCGACGCCCTTGGTAAAATCCATATTACATTTCAATTATGTCTCATCGATTTTAGTTTACATGACTTTTTCGGTATTTCATAAAAAACTGGTACCTGATTTGAAGAATAAATTCAGATTTTGTTGGCTCTGAGAAATTCATCAAGAGTTATGTGATTTTGATTCCCGAAAGTAAGTGTTTTCATAACACCTGGGAATAATTTATCTTATATGAAGCCACATATCAGAAAACTGAAGGCAATTACTCGTTTCTAAAAATACCAGGCTTCGTGCTGGCGAGATATGCAGTTTTGTTCTTTGATGTTCTCTGAGTTACCAGCTTTCCACAATGTGAAACGAATAAATAAATATAGATCAATGTAAAATCTGTCCAAGAATGGAAAAAACTTCTTTTCCATTCACAAAACTTGAAAAAACCATTGTTGAAAACGCTTATTTTGGAAACATGTATATTACTTTCGAAGTTTGCCATATTACGAATCCCATTAAGCTTCGTGTCCACTTGCGATTAAACTTGCTAGATTTACTCTCGCAAGTGACTTGCGCGGTGGCATGGCCTCCTTAGGGCGATATTGCAGCAAATTTATTTGCATACATCCGACTTACAACTTGCTGAGAGCTTGTAGTGTACACGTTTGATCTCAGACCTTTTATTTGGTCAGTTTAATTTCGAGACTGTTCCGAAAGTTTTCTGGAAGTAAATAATTATGGCGAAACATGATTGGGAAAGAGAAGAGAACTCTTCTCATTGAGAACTTTGAATTATATCCGGAATTGTGGAATGTACAATCCAAAGAATTAAAGGATTGAATAATGAAACAAAATGCCCTACAGAGCTTGGCGGATCTCTTTGAAACTACTACGTCGGAAATACAGAGGAAGTTACACGACTTGAGAACACAATTGAAGAGTGTAGGAGAAGAGTGAAGTATATAAGAGCACTTGGGAGTTTTTTGACTCATTGAAATTTATAATCGATGGAAATTCACGAAGTGATACAGAGGATAAACTGGTAAGTTCAAAAGTAAAGTTTATTTAGAGTTTTATTGTACTCAGCAGAAGTCATACATGTGGAATTATTTTGTTATGTGAATTTATATTGTCATTGTAGTTCACCTTCGGATGATAATAAATAATCTTTGAATTCTTCACGTACACATTTTGTATTAGCTGTAAAATTGTGATAGTTGTTATTATGAAGTGGCAACATATTGTTTACTGAAAGACCCTCGCCACTCGCCATTTGTAATATTCCATCGTCAGCTTCCACATCAAACATTCTTGCAGGTGCATATTTTGCTTTCGACAGTTTGTGCGACATCAGAAAATTATGAAGGATTCATATAACCAGAACACATTGAGCTGAATAGGTTTTCTTAGTACTCGGAAACGGTGTGCCATAATACCAAACACATTTTCAATAACCCTTCGTGCACTAGAGAGTCGGTAGTTGGTACAGGTTGATTTCTAAACGGATATGGTTTGAGCAAATACGTTTTCACTGCAAATGCATCATCAGCTACAAGAACAAACGGTGATAATTTTTTCTACCAGGCAATTGCCTTGGTGAAGGCAAATTGATGCTGTTACTTTCTAATGCTGTGGATAGAGAACAATTGTTGAAAACTCCTCCATCCGACACTCTGCCATTGCAACCGACATTCACATAGGTTAATTTGTATGTTACATCAGCCACTGCCATTGAAACTATACTATGTGTACCTTTATAGTTGAAGTAGTGACTTCCACTACAGGGTGGAGATTGCATAACAAAATGTTTCCATCTATAGCTCCTAAGCAGTTTGGATAGTTCCAAATATCTTCAAATTCTATGGCAATTTGAATCCACTCTGCTTGAGAATTTGGAACCTATAAAATACGAAGTACAACTTAATTATTTATTTCAGACTCAAAATACAGAGACTTCAGAGACAGAGCAGCAACAATCATCAGAAACTGGAGAAAATTTCGGTAAAGAATTATCAAAAAAGGAACCGGATTGTTCAAAAATAAGCCTAAAAAGAAAAAGGAAGGAGTCTAAAGAGGATGCTGATTTAGCTAAAGCTATGACAGTGTTGGATATACCTTCAGATAACTTTCAAATCTTTGGAGACTATGTAGCTTCAGAGCTCCGTTTCCTGCCTTCAGAGCATCTTAAAAAAAATGAAAATTATGAAAGAAAGAGATGTTTTGCAGAGTTAGGTAATCAGAACGACTCTGGTCCTTCAACACCAGTTTCTCTCCCTCTTTTATCTTCTGCTTCCTATGAGAGAACAAGCTCTTCACATTCATTGCACATAATGCCACCATACAAGCAATAAATGTACCTAGGTAAACAAACCGAGTAATAATATCTTTCATAGATTTACCCTCAAATATCCATTTTGCAGGGCCTCCTGAATTGCAGAACAGCACTGAGGAACAATTCTTGCGATCGTACATACAGGGATTCGATACAAATACATGAGCGAATGATAGGAGTCACCTAAAACAGAATAAATTTATTAGTTCTTGATATGTTCATTTTCTTTTATTTTTCATAATTTATAGATTTGTTTTGTAATTACCTGTTGCTTTGAACTGCAGTGTTAATGATAAGCGCTCCTCTGGACTAATAGCTAGCCACATTTTGGTATCCTTCTTGGTAATCTTGTCCTTCGCTAAACCCAGTAGAAAATCGAAGTCTTCTACATACATTCGCAAAAAATTTTTGAGCTGCTTTGGATCTTCAGTTCTCAATTTGATAACTGTTTGTATATACCTAGACTGGTCCTACGTTGAAACCACTTCCTAACTCAACATTTTCTCCTTTTACCGTTTTCCTTCCTTTTTTTTCGTTGAACTAAAATTTTCACAACTATCGCAGCAGCTATTTTCTGCTGCGACAACATTTTGTCACTAGGTATTCAACAATTATGTGTACAAGGGATCGTAAATAATAAGAGCAAACTTACTTGCTAGAGTGATTTACTAGATTAAATTTTCACACACTTGAAATTTAATATAGATAGGCCAACAAGTACTTGCTGCTAAAACTATCGCAACTTACTTGCAAGTGGACACGAAGTTTAACAGTGTGCTGCAAAACCAACTTCGACACATCCCGTCGAATGAAAAAAATCTCCCAGTTTTTCTCCATAGCTTTTACCGTGAAGCAAATAGATGAAATCGGAGCACAAAAATTTTACTTTAATTGAGGACCATTAAATTTATTAATGCATTTGTACTCCAACACAACTAATGAGACCTGAAGCAGGTCGAAATAGCGTTTGGGTTTGGATCATGGATATTTTTTTTCAAAAACTACACCTCAACGATTTGATCTCCACAAACTTTTGTGAAAATCAAATCGTTGAGGTGTAGTTTTTGAAATTACTATGGATCTTCATCAAGTAACGGTCAAATCAATCCGAAAAAAAGACATGAATATTTGGTTTTTGTTTTCTCCACTGAATAACGGAAATACTAACGAAAAAAAATGAATAGGTATTTGAGAATATCGAATCGATGTTGACGTCTTGCTGTCAATGAATTTGTATCTTTGATGATTTGATGCTTCACCAATGTTCTTGGAAATCTCCACTAGAATGAGAGTTAGTAGCAATAGCCAGAAACCTGAGTTCATTTTCACAGATTTTTCGAAACTCTTTGGAACATTCATTTTTGGAATCTGGAATGAGAAACATCACTAAATGAGCTTTCAATTAGAAGAAATGAATTATGAAAATTGAGAAAATGATTTTATAGGACGAAACTGCAGTAATGTTAGTTACAAATACTGTCGCATCTCAGTACTCGCTTGGCTATTAACGAGAGGATTTTTATTCGCTGTTTCACCCATTCATTCATCCAAATAAATGAAAGAACTCATTCAAAACTCAATTCAATATTTATTGTGAAGAAACGAAAAAAATAAACTCACACTCAAATGTTAATAAAAAGAAATACATTAAAACACCAAAAACTTACATTAAACTGCCACCCAGCAGGATCGAAGAGAAGGAGATGTGCTGCATTGTTGATGATCAGTAGATACTCAAATGAAAATCTGAATACTGTCCGTTCATGATCTTGACCTCCCTCGAAATTTATGAAGAATTATACGCTGACATTGCAACTTTGATCTGGTCACTGTACTAAGGTAAAATGCTCAGCATGCAATCTGTGCAAAGTTTGCGTATTTGGAGATTGTTTTATATTCTATATCCTGTGATCGGATCAATTTCGATGTCTATGAACTTGGAATATTGAAAGATATAATTCTGAATACTGGGTGTTTTTGCGCTAAAATATTGAAGTTGAGGTTGGAACATCTTTCAATTCATGTATTTACTGAAATGAATCTGAATTATTTCCTGATTATTTTCTATATTTGACAAGTGGTATCAAAACATAGGTTGTTTTAAATTCTCAATTTTCATAATGATTTCTTACCACGTAGTAACGGCTACATCCATCAATTCAGGGAAATAAATGATTAGCCTTGTCGAAACAATCAGAAACTGCAACCTCTTAGAATTATCACTTTGATGAATGAAACAAAAGGAGTGACATTTTTTCCCCTCAGTTTCAGACCAGGGGACAGGGGGACACATTTTGACATATTCTCATTTGATCTAACTTTCCCTATCTCACCGCCAGAGTATGTCACCATTTTTTCAAATGGATCAATTGTTTTGCATCTTCAGATGTTCCATGATAAACAGATTTCAACAAAGTAGAATACATTATGGTCTGAAGCTCATAGTTTGGAAGCTAAAAATTATTTGAGTTCAAAATGAGCCACCCCGAATGAACTTCTGTACAATCTGTTATCTAGGTTTCATAGGTGTTTTTGTGAAATATACTTCAAAAAAGTGTTTTTTTTATTAATATTAGCGTGTCTCGGCATCTAATGGCCACTGACACGGGATCTGTGATACATTTACGTAATAATAAAAAAAAAATCAGAATAAATGAAACAGTCGACAGTCCTTGAGAAATTGTATCACGACACTGAGCTGGTTAGGTAGGCCGAGAATGTCTTTGAGAGTTCCACTGAGTTTGTGTTTGCGGCGAGTTGGTCTGTAGTGTATACAATTCAAAAGTATGTGCTCAATTGTGAGTCTTGCATTACCACAAAATTCACAAGTAGGGGGATTTTGTGAAGACATCAGGTATCCATGCGTTAGTCGGGAGTGGCCTATTCTGAGTCTTCTTATAACACTTTTCTCCTTTCTCGTCATTGGGGGCAGGTCCAGCGCCGAAACTGTAGGTTGGTTTGTATGTAGTTTGGTGGTAAATGTGTTCCAATGTGTTTGCCATGTTTGTATCATCATTTGTCGAGCTGCTGATTTCAAGTCTTGGTGAAGTTGGATTTGTTCCTCAGGCAATTCGGAGGAACAAGCTTGTTTTGCTGCTTGGTCTGCACTTTCGTTGCCTGTAATTCCTACATGAGAAGATGAGAAGGGATCCAGATGATATTCACAAGGACACCTCTGGTACGATGGTGGTGTCAGGTATCGAAGATATCTTGAACCAAAGGATGATGTGAGTAAATATTTTTGATAGAGAATATTGATGAAAGGGAGTCTGTGCATATGGCAAGTTTCCTGTTATCTTGTACTGGAGACCTCAACGCTTGTAATATTCCATATAGTTCAGCTGTGTGTATACTTCAGACATTGGGAAGTTTGTATGTTGCTATTATTGCATCGAGTGTAGTAACAGCACATCCGGTACCATTAACTTCTTTGGATGCGTCAGTATGAAGGATTTTGTCGAATTGCTGGTTATTTATCAGTTCTCTGAATCTTTGTACGAAGACTATATTAGGCGTATCGTGCTTATTGTAGTTCCTTAGGCATGTATTCAGTTTTATAAGAGTTGTAGCTTTGAGGTTGATGTTTCTTGAAAAAGGGTATAATAATTGTGAAGGTGAAAGCGACGTTCTGGGTCTGTTTTGGGGAGCTGGTTGTATAGAATCAATTAATTCAAATACCGGGTTTTGTGGGTTAGCAGGTACCCTGGAGAAATATGCTAATAGTTGGTATTTTCGTCGTATAAAGAGAGGTGGTTCAGAGGATTCAATATGAATGCTTTCTATCGGACTGGATCTGAAGACACCCAAGCATATTCGTAGTGCTGTGGTTTGGATTGTGTCAAGGTATTTGAGGTATGTTTTGTAGGCATTCATATAAAGGATACTTCCGTAATCCAGTTTGGAGCGGACTAATGATCTGTAAGTCCGTATTAGTATTTCCTCTTCAGCTCCCCATTGGTGATGAGCTAATGATTTCAGAATGTTGATACGATTTAGACTGTTAGCTTTTGTCTCCTGAATATGTTGTTTCCATGTGAGTCTTTTCTCAAAGATAACTCCCAAGAATCTATGTTGATCAACCACTTGTAAATGATCCCCATTGAGATCTAATTGTGGAGGTAGAGGATTAAGTCTTTTGCTAAACTGGATTACTTTAGATTTGGTTATTGAAAAGTGAAATCCGGATTTGAGAGACCAATTGTGGATGCTGTCTAGGGCCTTCTGAAGTAAGGTGCAAGTACTGACCGTGGCTTTGTCTTGGCAGTAGAGGATGAGGTCGTCGGCATATAATACATATTTGACAGGGTGAATTTATCGAAGTACAGATATCGTTGATACTCATCAGGAATATTGTGGTGCTAAGAACCGAGCCTTGTGGGACTCCGTTTTCTGGAAAATGCAGTGTAGATGACAGTCCATTTGTAACAACTTTGAAAGATCTGTTGGCTAAGAAGTTTTGTAGAGAGGAGAAAATGTTTCCAGTCACTCCAAAGTCCATGGTCCAAAGTTCAAAAATGGTAGTTTTGCGAATCGTGTCGAAGGCGCTGTCAATATTTAGACTAACGGCAATTAGGTCTTTCTTACTTTCAAAAGCTTCTGAGATATCTGTATGTAAAGTAACCAAATTATCTAATGTGCATCTGTTTGATCGAAAACCTGCCTGTTCTGAAGTTAGGAGGTTGTGAGATTCTAAGTACCAGTGTAAGCGTCTATTAACCATTTTCTCGAGAATTTTATATGGAGCACATGTTAGAGACGTTGGTCTGAAGGAATTGGGAAGATTGGTATTTGAGTTTTTCTTTTTTATTGGTATTATGGTTGCTTCTCTCCATATAGCCGGAAATTGTTGATTGTAAAGTTCGAGCAGTTTAATTTTAGTTTCTGACTGTAAATATTTTAGGAAGATCATTGGTATGTCATCTGGTCCTGAAGCTGTGTTCTTTATCGTGAATAGGGCTGAGTTTAATTCGGAAAGAGTGAAAGGAAGATTGAGAGAGTGACAAATGTGGGAAGTTGTTTCAGGATGTGGATTGTTTGTTGAGTTTGGAGATTCTGGATTGGATTTTGTTTTGAAAGTGTTGGGCAAGGATGTTGGTAATTTGTTGGTCATTGGTGGTGACTTTTCCCTCGTAGGTTAGGTCACGAATTTTATAATTGGTGTTTCTTCCTCTCATCTGTCGTATCTCGGT